CTTCTTTATTGGTTCTATTGTAGCCTCCAATTCCTCAATAAGGGACTTTGCTGAATCCAAATGTTCGCGGATATTTTGAAGAAGATCATTTACTTGCTGAAGTAGTGTGGCCTTGAAAAAGAACTGAGACGCATACCCTTAGTCAAGCAGCTTTACAGAATTGTAGACAGAGGACGCATAGTTTTTACCTTAAATTTGTCTTTGGCATTTCCAGAATGCAGAAATTCTCTGCTCTTGTCTTGACTCATTATAACACAGGGATTTTCTACATCAATCTGCATGAGAAAAGCATGGCTTCTGAGCGCAATTGTGAAGGAGGTAAAACTGAAAGGTAAATGAAACATGTTCTAAGATATCTCAGCAGTCCCAATAATTCTGAACTAGAAAAGAGCAACGCAGTCAAAAGCCTGGATAGAGATCAAGAGATTTTTCTTGTTTCTCAAACCAACCAATTTCGAGCACACAATTGCATTTGTACTTCAATTATTTCCTCTCAGCTTCTTTAGTCAGCGTCGTGCTGAATATTCGCGCACCCGCATGTGCGTGTGTGTGTGCGTGCAAGAGGGAGAGAGAGAGAGAGAGAGAGAGAGGGAGGACCCTAAATCATCAGGGTTATTAACAAAGAAAAGCTAAAACTTTTATATTCACAATAGAGATACATGTAAATTTTGAAATCAATGGATTCACGGCAATAAAAGGTTTCACAGGTCAAGTGATAGATTCGCTGGCAATTCTAGTAGGTTTGTATGGTTTAGGTCATGAATGGAAATCTTAAAATTGGATTTATAAGATATGAGTATGCTAGAGATACTAAGACTTATTTACTAAATAGGTTTATTAAATGATGTGGCAAACTATAATTGGTTATTCATGTTAATGGGACCATTTAAACACCCAATAGGTATCTGCCACATCAACATAGGACCGCTATAACTAGATTTTCCCAATCTTCCATGATCACGCACCGGAGCACGATGGGTCAAGACCACATTGAACAAGCGTGCAACCACGACCTATAAGTGCTTGAAATAAAATCATTGGCTTGGTGCAAGAGATGAAACCACTTAACATGTTGAGAATAACTCTAAAAAAGGATATATTTCATTAACGTGTCTTGGACTTTACGTATAATTGATTGACACCCTTGTTAAACAAAATCTCCTCGGAACCACCTTCAAAGGATAGTTCAGGGGTACACCTGTCACCATCAAATCATAATTTAAAAAGCAGAGAAATCCAGCAAAATTTCATTGAAACACTAGGGTGCCCATATCTTTCTAATGGTAAATGTACTGGCGTTTTTCAACTGGAAAAAAAATGGATAAAAGTAACTGATGACTTAAGAAAGCCGGAAAGTAACAGAAGGACCACAGAAGCCTTCTGATCAAAGGATTTAAATATTGGCATCGCACGTGTTTATCTTTAATTAGATTTACATGTTCTTAGCGTCCATTTTTGTCATCCACTGTCGGAGGCTCACAATTTAAGTATATGGTAGAAAACTCACATTAAAGTGTTCGATGAGTTCACGAAGCTCCTCTTTCCGACTAGCAACCCTTCTTCCTGCAAGATGACTCGGTAAGGAAGAAAATCAAGCAGAACTTTTAGCATCAGCCACCAAGACAAAACGAATTAAGGTCCAAGGGCACAACTTTGAACATTTCCGTCACTGAATAGACAGTAGGACTCTTAATTTGCATGTTGAAATGCAGCTCTACTATCCATCTGCTATATCAATAGCTTATTTCCCTCTTGGAAGGAATATTAGAATCGCCCATTGAACTATGTGTAGACCAAAAAGTTTAAAAATGATGATCGAATTTCAGGTTCTCAGACAAGTCACCAGCCATTAAAATCAAAGACAAGAACTTCCTTGGTACAAATCTCATATGTATAGCCAAATAACACAGGCATATAGTCCAAACCTTGGCAATCCTTCAATGCCATAGAGCCCGTAGATTCAGATATCCGACGTTCTATTGTAATGATATCTCCATATAATTCAGGCTTAAAAGCATCCTCTCCATGGTTTTTCAAATCAACTTGAACGACAGCCGAACTAGAACAACAACAACAAGTAACAAAGAGCAACGTTAGAACTATTAGAGTATGCAATTGAGTGTCTGCACTTGTCTTAGAAACCTGACAACTTGCAGTATAGTGGTAAAAGAATGTTTCTGATAAACATATTCAAGAATCAGAGGGGCAAGGAGAAAAGCACAAGACCTGCAACCGGTTTTTATGAAATCCTTCAATGTGGAAGCCCTTTGAGTACCTTTGGCTCGGCATCCAAAGGCAACACATAAAGCTGTCAGTATGGCACTCTTCCCACCTGTGATGCAACAAGTGCAACAGTAGCTCACAAGTTAGATGATCCTTTAAAGTTGAAAATTACTCATGTTCTTGACAGCTTGAACTCGACTCATGCGTGCCTAAACCAAGTCTCGCATCACCTAACAAAAACTGAAAATTCCTGAAGCTTTATCAGCCTCAAACTAATTAAGCACCAGGCGATTCCCTTCATCATAAAATTAGAGCAGAATTCATGCGTAAAAATACACCCCGCGCAATCTCGAAAGCTGCAATAACAAAACCCTTCGACGATACAGGTAGATAGAGCAATCCAATTCTAGTTCGGGAGCGGATCGCCAGCTCGCAGCGCTCGCGAACGAGACGAGACGAAACAGACGTGAGACGGGTTTGAGAGGAGGGACCGACTCACTTCCGTTCTGGCCGGTGATGAAATTGACCCACTCGCCGAGCTCGATTTGGAGACTGCTGTGGCACATGAAGTTCTCCAAGCGGATCCTCGATATAGTCCCCGCCTTGGGCCGCGCCGGAGGCTCGGGGAAAACCCTCGCGTCCCCCATGGGGATCGGAGCTCTTCAGGGTCCTTTTCCTTCAGCAGGAGTGCATAGAAAAAGCACGGAGCCGTCGATGAGGACGACGAGAAGCGCTGACGCCGAGACCGGGGGGACGCCGATCGTCGCCTCTTGCGGTCGCCGGCGAGGCCGAGAGGGTTCCGATCGCCGTCGCCGTTGGCTTCTGATGCCGAGAAGACGAATGGCGGGAAAGGGGCACTACTACTCCTTCGGCGCAAAGAGCTTAGCGTCGTGATTTTCCTTTTTTCTTTTTTTTTCATGGGCGCCCTATTTCTACTTTTACACGACTACATCCACACTATTTACACTAAATAGACAAAACTGCCCTCGAATTTTCAGTTGCGATTTAAAGTGATGGCTCTACCCTTCTCTTTTTTCTATTTAGAACAATTATCGTAATTAAACATTTCACATGCTTTGTTTTTTTCAGTGTATCAAAGAAAAGCGCATTCTCAAATATTCATATTACGTTTTACATGCTCCGTATAGAATTATCTCACCCATAATAAGAGTATAAATTACTTAATAATTTATCCATAAATTTGATCGCCAACGTAAAAAAGAACTAGATTTCTTGAAAATTTCTCTTTTCGACAAAATAAATTTTTATGGAAGCAGTATCTAACAATAGAAAAAAGTGCCTTTGATATACATGAAAAATCTATAACAAACAACAACTAATCATATGAAATTCTAAATTATGGTAAGTAAATCCTCTATAAATATAGAAAAACTAAAAAAAGGTTAATAAAAAAATTTGGACCACCAATTTAAATTGCAATAAAATGATAGAGGGTAAATTTGTCTTTTTATTTATGTTTTGCATTTCCTTCATCTTGCAATTACGATTCAACCCATATGATTTTGCTAAATTGCAATTTATTCCACCTCTAGCTGATTAAAACCAATATTCAAGGTTTAAAAAAAACATTCTAGTCAACCGATTGGCTATTGTCAACTCCTTCTACAAGTATTGAGCCAAATAAAGTCAAGCCCATTTGGGTGCACACTTTATTTCTTGAATGTAGGGAATGAAGGGAGCAAGTACATCTAACACAGAAAAAAAGTCTAAACCTATTATACAATTACCAATTCAATCATAAACTTTTTTATTTAACAAATTTAGTCACAAATCTTTTGATGATTTGCTAATAGGTTGGCATCCACATTAGTGATTTCTGATTTATGACTAAAGTGATCAAATTAAAAAGTTCTTTATTGAATTGGCCGTCGTACAATAAAATTAAGACTTTTTTTTATAATTTCTCTACAATGAAGTGAGACAATCCTCGGGCTATGTTTGGGAAGTGCAACAAAGTTTGGGCCTGGACAATACCGGTACGAATCAATAACTGATAACGTAAAATAACCACAACTAGCGCCCCGTGCACCTGCCGTACATTCATCAACAATCGTACAAGATGTTGCTCCAAATCATCGTATTCATTGACTACTTTATCGCGACCACATGTGATTTTACTTTCCTAACGCGTCCATCCAGCTAAATCATCCAAATTCAGATAAAACTGACGCGGCATGTAACCTATGTACCATCGTCGATTCTTCTTATCCTTTTACATGGCAAGAGTTAAAAAGGGATAAATCTCAAGAGATTAGGCATTTGAATGAATGCCAAACAAACAAATTAGACTAGTCAATCCAGCCCATTTCGCATGAGATTTTCAAGTGATTCCATATTAACAAACGAGCAAGTACTTAAATTTACTTACCAACAGAGGCAGATTCATCTCCCAAAGCTTAAATGCGCCTAACATGATGTCTATTGTACACTGCATAAAGCCTATATAAAGCCCAACCTAGTAGTGTTAGTTCACACAATCTCATACACAGCTGAACTTTACACGATCTTTATACACACAAACATGCACAGAAGGTCTTGCTGCAATGCATCCGACGGCCAGGATCGCAGCCCACAGCACCAGGACACTGAATGAGGACATCAAGTAATTAACCACATTCGCCCTCGACCTTCTGCTTTTCCAAAGCCCTCCTCCTTCGAAGTCATTCTTCGTCACTTGCTAGTTCTCCATACACTGCATCGCTCTTTCGCATCCATCTTCGCCTGCTCGTTCGTCGTCTTTGTCGAAGAAAGAAAGGATGGAGAAGAACAGGGTGTGCACGATCTGCAACAGGCGCTTCGCCAACGGCAAAGCCATGGGAGGCCATATGAGATCTCACTTCGCCAAGCTCCCGCTCCCTCCCAGGCAGCCGTACGTCCAGCCCGAGTCGGCCCCACCGCCAGCTCTCTCTTCGTCTTCTCTGCACCGGGATGGGAAGGACGTTGCCTTGAAAGACTTCTCTGGATCGCTGAAGCTTTATCATCCTCACGACCCATGTGCCAATTCCGAATCGTCCTTCGTCGCCAGCACGGATCCTGCCCTCCCCGACAAGGGGAGCGAAGCCGAGTCGCAGAGGAACCCGAAGGGGAGGAGATCGAGCCGGCGCTGTAAGCCGGCGAGGGCCGAGACGTCGGAGCAGGTGAGTTCGGCCTCCGAGACTTTTTCCGTCGAAGATGTCGCGCTGTGTCTTATGATGCTGCTGCGAGATAGCTGGACCAGAAAGGGCAAGGAAGTAGTTCAAGAACTGGTGGACGAATCGGCTGAGGAAGACGAGAAGGACAACGAAGATGATGGCGACGACGATGATGACGAGTCCTTTAGCGCGACGCAGGCGAATCATCCCCATCACCCCAAGTACTGGTGCGAGACATGCAACAAAGTGTTTAAATCTTACCAAGCGTACGGTGGGCACAAGGCGAGCCACAGCCACAAGAGGATGAAAATGCTTGAGGATATCGAAAAGGAGGGGGTCGATGGTGGTGCAAAAACCAAAGCTTTAACTGATCAGAGATTGTTCAAGTGCCCGTTCTGCGACAAAGTGTTCAATTCAGGTCAAGGACTCGGGGGTCACAAGAAAGTTCACTTCTTGAATAGTGCAGTTAGTAAGAGCAACAACAACAACAACGATAACGATGCTAAGAACAAGGTCGGAGAGTGTAGGTTAGATCTTAACCTACCACCATCAACCGAAGAAGAAGGCAGCCATGAACCGGTTGAGTCTTCTCCTGTTTCCAGTCATTGAAGAAGAAGAAACGTTGCGTCCAATGAACCAGGTAGGTTAGGTCTGGTTCATTTTCCTTTCTTTTCTATATTTCGAGTCCGGAGAACGAGGTTTGTAATCTTTGCTGGTGCACAACTTCGATCAATTTCAGTTTCGATTTGCATCTTCGTGTTAATACATCCCTTTTCGAGATTTCTGCGCACCTGAGGTTCTGTCTTGCCATTAAGACGAAAAGGGTCTCTGAATTTCACCGAGTCACGGCATCTTGTGAGCTTCGACAGCATGCAGTGCAAGTGCAAACCCTCTCCTATAGCCTAGTCCTCTTCTCGTTCGCCAGTCTCGTATCTTCTCGGGGTGCTTTAACTTAAATGCGAATTCATTCCCTCTATTTAATGTTATCTGCGAGTTAAACAATTTGGGTTGATATCCGATGATGTTATCTTTGAGGATCGTCGTTATGAGTTTATCCTGAGGAAAGCGATGGAGTCTGTGTGGCGGGGGGAGGGAGAAGGGGAAGAAGAAGAAGTTACGAGAGGAAGCATTGAAAGCTGCCACATCTGTTTCGCAGAGCATATCCACCTGATTCTTTGGCTAACTGTTTCTTCCTCATTTCTCTCGTCAAAAGATCCCAAAAGTCAGCGAAGCACTTACTGAGTTTTTGGCTTCTTGATACGACGAGAGAGAGAGAGTAGTTGCTGCTGCTGGTCTTGACTACCACGCCTCTCCATTCATCTTCTACGATGTGAATTTGGACGTGCGGGTGATGTTAAGTACGCTGCAATCTCGGTACATATTATGATCGATATAGATATGATACGTTGTAAACACGCTTTCAAATAAGTGGATCGCACTCGATCCCCGATATGAAATATAGAAAAATTTAAGTAAAGGCGGCTACGTTGTTCTATCTTGAATAACGGAGTGCTTTGCACCATCACACATCAAATGCAGCAACTGGATCACTGGTTCATTGTCATGCGTGTTTAACTTCTAAAGATTGATTTTTCTCGTCAAAACAGATAAAATCAGTTCAGTCAATCTGAATAAGCACAATTTTACACAAAAAAATTTAAGCTCGAGTTTTTCTTAACATGTATAGAAACTATTGCATAAGACTACATATAAATCACAATGTTTCGTAATGTACCATTTAAATGAAAATTGACAAGCTTCGACCAAAAAAACAAATGAAAATCGACAAGCAAACACATTATACATGCGTTACACGGTTGATGTGGTTAAACAAACCAATCGCACATTCAGATTATCTGCCTGATTTGCATGATAGCCAACTTTGTGTTTAAACCTTGAAAATGCTTATTATGTTGGCTGGTTTCTCTACATGTCAATAGCTTCTTACGCATAAAATATGTTCTTAAAATATTGGACAACCAAAAATGAGACTTTAGACACAACTTTAGTATATGGTTAAAAAAACCACAAAAGGGAATTTGATCAGAAGAATTTGTTAAATTCTGTAATTTGTACATAATTAGGCGGTACACATATTGGCCAACAAAAAATGAGACTTTAGACACAATTTTGCATACAATAAAGAAACACAAAACATTTTGACCTGAAATTTGATATTCATTGCAGGGTAATGAGATGGTTTACGCATTTTGACTGCTCAACAATATCTACTATTTTAAAAGTTGCGATTGAATCCGTTATAAATTTTTTATCGTTTGAATATTATTCACTTAGATTTATTTCTTTAAATAACCCCACGGCTTTTCAAATTTCCTATTCGTCTGATATGTGTCTTTAGTTGGCTCATCTTTCCCTTTCTATAATACGGTTGCCCATGTAACATAAACTAAGATTTGTGGTTAGAAGCTCACCGTTATAATTTGAGAATAACGGCGCCGTTATGCTAGCTGCACTCAAGAACATACTAAGCTAACATACTAATATTCATTTCACTTAGTAAGTGATGTGCGCTATTATAAGTAGACATTTTGACACTGTTTGTTTCGCGGAAAATAAATGATTGGGAAAACATTTTCTTTAAAAATGATCGTTTATATCGTTTGAAATAATTAGTCAATGGAAAATGTTTTTATTATTGACAACTTTATGTGTAAATATTTTCGTGAACATTAAAAATATTTTTTGTCTGTTCATTTTTGTGGGCAATATAAGCGATCATTTTGAGGAAATATTTTTCAAATCATTCATTTTTCATGAAATAAATGTACCATTTAATTAAATGAGTCAATCGTATTCAATATCCTAAAAGAATTCTGACATATCATATAGTGTGTAAATTTTGTAAACTAGTCTTAGCATGTCTAACCCTAACACTATTTTGAGAATGAGTACATATGGATGACAATGAGGATAGAAATATTTAATGCATGGGATGTACTAGCTGTAACTTTATTAGAATCTCTTATGATTTTTAAGATTGAAGATATATTTCCTTATATAGTACAACATAGTCAAACAAGGATACGATTGTCACAGCACGTCAAATATGCATTCTCACTAGTGTTCTTTCTTCTTCTAACCCATAATTTCTCATGGGCTTTTCATCTTTCAAGTGTCGATTGCCAAAGTTCCCATTCCTACTCTTGCTCCTACTCGTGTGTAAATAAAGCAAATGCTTTTACATGTATCCGATTTCAGCACGCATTACAGATTCTGCAAATTGCATTAGATTTCAAAAGAGCTTCGCTTCAACTTTTGAAGATGAAGGGAGGAGAACCCATCTCGTGAATCCATTCATAGAGAAAAAGTAGTACAATTTCCTAAGTGATCTTCGATGTAGGAGGTTGTAATTAGCGGGCGCTGGCAGGCATACCATCTCCACTCTTGAACACATCTTGCCTTGGACTTACTCCTACAAAGCCCAAAACCACTCTCGTTGGGCCCTCGTCCGAGGCAAATGCTATACGAAACAGAACGATGCAAAACAATGGTTGGATCTGATCTGGCCCCTAGCTCAATGGGTCTCCTATTTGATGGACTCTCACTGACATATCTGATCATTCAACGCTTACCGGTCATCTACAGAAAATCTTCCTCCTGAAATTATAGCTTCAGATTTAGATCCTTTGATGTTACCGTATCAAAAATCTCAAATTGATTTAATTCGCAGAATGTAGTGTGGTGGAAGACAGATAACTATTCCATAGAGATATAGTTATTCCATCAGCTAAAGTTGAACATCTATGGAGAGGATGAAACGGATAAGCTTAATATTTGTTAGGAGCGTCGAAAACATTGCGGTTATTCCTCTCAACCAAATGTCTTAGTATGGTTGATAGCTACACTTGATCGAGCAAGATGTTTATCCATCGAGTTGTGTGCTGAAACGTCAAGGATTTCACAGCAGAGAGAAAGAGTATGGGATACATAATGATTGCCGAGGTTATGTATGTAACACCTCGAGTACCAAATGAAGCATAGGAAAGATCAGCCTAAAATGTCACTGCTAGAGATGCACAGGCTGCCAGTTTTGCTATGGCATGACCTTTGAACTATGGGATCGAAGATGCACGATTTTTAATAATTTCATAGAGTGAAAAAAGAAAAACATCGCGATGGCTTGTTTTACTTGATTGCTTGTCTCTAAAGCTAGGAGCCCTCGACAATAGACCTCGGAACATATATCCACGGACATTCTCAATAGTTCTTTCGAGTGCAAGGCACACATTACAAATGTCAACTGATTAGGAGAAACTGAATCCTTGACACGAAGAGTTTTGATTGTCTGAAAAGCATTGAGAACTAGTGTACAAGCACACGACACCATCTACTTATGGTGCGTTTGATAACCATTTTGTTCCCATAAACAATTTATGCTCAGAAATGATTTTTTTTTATTTCATTCCCGAAAACAATTTATAAGCATTTGAAAGCGTTTGGTAACTGCCCAAAATGTCTATTTCTGGAATAGAAAAAGAACATAAATGCGTTTGGTAACTGCACGAATTTTTTTTATTAATAATATTTTGAATTTTTTAATATTTCTTTCTTCTTCTTCTTTTTTCTTTTTTTCTTCTTCCCCTTCCTTGGCCCATGGCCAGGTCGCCGGCGCCAACAACCGGCCACAGGGCAGTAAAAATGAAGAAGACCAACCAAGAAGAATAAGACGAAGAAAAATTTCTTTTCCATTTCTGATTCTTATCTCCAGAATCAAGAATCAACTGACTTTTTATTCTTGATTCTGTTCCAAAATTGATTCTGGGAATAAATTTGTACCTGGGAACAAAAAATTTACCAAACGAGTTTTTGTTCTTCTTTTGTTCCAAAAAATAAAAGAATAGAATCGGGTACTATTTGGCAGGTTACCAAACAACCCCTTATTGGCCTCTCTCGCTTGGTATTGCTGTTTCCAAAATCACTCACATTCATCCGCCTGCTGACGGTGAAAAAGGCCATGGTGGCGTCATGGAATGGAAGAAGATGACAAGAGTGTAAGAGGCTACAAAGCGGGTATGGCCAACCAATGGGGCACTGTTCTCAGTGACCTTTTCTCTGATACAACGCCACTAACCCCATCACAATTCAGAACAGCACTTAGTCAGCTTTAAGGGCACGAATCTTTTGGAACTTTGTGCGATTAGAACAGTGTTGAGTCCCATGTTTATACTGAATCTCTCACTCATTGCATTTCACCCCCAACGTCAACGCTTACACTCATTGCCTCCCATCCAATTCACGGAAACATATCTCGGTAGGTTGACATGTATGGATTCTGTACGGCGAGGCTTGTCCCCGCTCATCGGGCGGTGGAAAAGTGGTCCTCTTTTCACATGTAAACGCTCTCTACTGTACCAGTTGAGACGGTGTCAGCTGTTGTAATTGGCTCTGTTTGCTCCTGCTAAATGCCATAGCTAGTGCCCAGAAGCTATGCGAAGGAAATGCAACACAGCTCTTCAGGTTGACCCCTAAATTTGAGAGGAGACATCCGTTAGTTTTCCCTCGGTTAAATTCATCTTTTTGCACGCTGTCAATTATTGATCATTTTTCAGCGGAAAGAATTGGTGATGTAACTGTTCAACGCGTCAAAAGATCGAGTCTGTCTTGGCCACAATCAACCAAGATAAGATCCATTTTAATAGCAGGAAGAACAATACTCCTATACCCATCCCAACCAGTAATAATCACGTAGATACATAAGAGAATAAGTCGATACTAGGAAACCCCTTAGGATTTTTTCGTCAAAGGAACGCTATCATCGCCGCCCATGTCGTCGAGCAATTTTCTCTTAGGACGTGCTTCTTGCAGCATTAGCACCACGTCCCTCATGGAAGGTCGGTCAGCCGGGTTTGCAGCCGTGCAGAGCAGAGCAACCCTGAGCAACTCCAACATTTCCTCCCTGACCGGCGCACAAGATGCCCCGGTGTTCTTGTCCAGAACATCACGAATCCCGTCCTTACTCTTGATCTTGAGCCTCACCCAATCCACAATGCTATTCCCTTCACCGAATTCGGGATCCACGGACCGTTTCCCGCTTAGCATCTCCATTAACACTACTCCGTAGCTGTAAATATCACTCTTCTCGTCGACTTGGAGCGTGTATGCATATTCTGTGTAAAATATCAATCGACATTTAGACTTGATATTCGAACTAACATATAGAGTCAGTATACACGGTACAGTGCACAAGGAACTGCACTTTAATCCTGAAACATGAAATGCCAAGCTACCTCGGAAATTAGAACATTGGCATGATTGAAATGTACCTGGTGCTATGTAGCCATAGGATCCTGCAATGACGGACATGGACTCATCGCTCTGTATCAACTTCGCCACCCCGAAATCTGCCACTCTGGCCTCCATCTCAGCATCAAGCAGTATGTTGCTCGGCTTGAGGTCACGGTGCACGATCACCGGGTTGCAGTCATGGTGAAGATAGCAGATCCCCTGAGCCACGCCCAGCGCTATCTTGTACCGCGTCACCCAACCAGTCACCAAGTTGAGGTCCTTGTTCTTACCGTGCAACAAATCGTCCAGGTTTCCGTTGGGCATGTACTCGTAGAGAAGCATGGTGCACTCCCTATTGCTACAACAGCCCATTAGCCTCACAATGTTACGGTGCCTCACGTTCCCAAGCACGTCCACCTCGGCCAGGACCCCTCGCCGCTTCCTCATATGCTCCTTGGGCTTGCCCCACAACTTCTTCACCGCTATGATGTCGCCGCCTGGCATCTCGGCCCTATACACCGTCCCGGTCGACCCCATCCCTATGATCTTATTGCTCATCGACAGGCACTCCACCACGTCCTCCGCTGTGAAGTTGAGCCTTTGGAACGCAGTTAATTTCCACGGGCCAACCCCTTGGCGCTCGATGAACCGATGACTATAGGTGGCATGGAAGCACCTAGTGCCAGCAATCAACACCACTAGGCCTACCCCGAACGCGGCTGCCATGATCCACACTATGGCGCCCGCCGTCCGCCTTGGCTGTTGCCGACCCGCCTCGGGGTCATCCGCGCCGGACGTGTCGGCCACGCCGCCGCCGCCGCCGCACGGTTTCACCAACACGCCCCCGCAGAGACCGTCGTTGCCGATAAATGAAGAAGGGTGCAAATTCTTGAATATGGTGCTGGAAGAAGGTATAGGGCCAGTGAGCGAATTGAAGGACACGTTGAAACTCTCCAAGGTGGTACAATTATCGAAATTGGACGGAATCGAGCCGGTCAAGAAATTGCGCGACAGGTCGACGTCGGTGATCGAAGGTAGCGCCGATATTTCCCACGGGATGATGCCCGCGAGCGAGTTTCGGCTCAGATTCAGATACAGAAGCTTCTCGCAGTGGCCAATGTCCCACGGGATGCTACCGTTCAACGAGTTGTCGCCCAATTCGATCTTGTAAAGGCTCTTGCACCCGATGAAATCTGGGATCTTGCCCAGGAGTTTGGACGAGCTGGCCGAGAAAATCTGCAAGTTCGGAGCTTTCCATATGTTGCTGGGCAAATTGGTCGCCAACGAGTTCCCCGACACGTTCAGGTACTGGAGCGCCACCGCGTTCCCAAGATCGTCTGGGATTTCGCCGCTGAGGAAGTTGTTGCTCAAATCTGCGAACGTCAGATTAGGCAGGAGCCCGAAGCCGCGCGGGATGGAGCCGTTGAGCATGTTGTTTTGCGTTCGGAGCCTGTAGAGGGAAGTGCAGCCGGCCAGCGACGGCGGTATCGCGCCGGTGAACCTGTTCGAGAAAAGGAGGAGCTTTATCAGCTTGTTCCCGAGGCAGAGATTTGGCGGGATTGGCCCGGCGAGCGAGTTCGACGACACGTCGAGTTTCGTCAGCTTGGCGCTTGATCCGAGCCCTTGGGGCAGAATTCCGGTGAGAGAGTTGTTCCAGAGCTGGAGCGTCTCCAGCTGCGGGAGCACGCCAAGTGCTTGCGGCACTTCCCCACTGAAGTTGTTGTTCATCAAACTTAAGGTGGCGAGCTGTTTCAATGACCCCAGCCCCACTGGTATCGCCCCCGACAGTTGATTGTTAGACAAGTCGAGAGCTTTGAGCGCTTCCAAGCTCGAGAAGCTCGGCGGGATTTGGCCAGTATACTGGTTGCCGAAGAGGATTAAAGTCTCCAGCTTTGTCATGTTACCGAGCTCTTGCGGAAGCGAACCGGAAAGGTTGGCAGCTGAGATGTCCAAGTACCTGAGATTCGATAAGAGCGCGAGTTCACTCGGGATACCGCCGTAATATTGATTGTATCCGATCTCCAGGTGCTCGAGCTGTGCCAGTGATCCTAATTCGGGTGGTATGGGACCTTCTAAAACATTCCCATGCAAGTACAGAGACTTCAATCTTGGAAAGTTGCCGTAGTCGGAGGGAATCTCTACTTCGAAGTAGCTTCCACCCAAATTCAGATACTCGAGATACTGAAGACTTGCTAATTCTAGAGGGAGGGGACCCGCGAAGTTGTTGCTGTAGGCATTAAAGACTCTCAGGAGTTTAAGCTTTGATATGCCCGGTGGGAATGTCGAGTTGAAGGAGTTGTGGCCGATGTCAAGTGTCTTGAGCTCAGTCAGTTCAAAAATGGCTGGCTGGAGAATCCCATCAAGGGCATTCCCACTCAGATTCAAGTGCAGTAAGCTCGTCAAGTACCGGATTTCCGCCGGGATTGCACCGGAGAGGTTGCGGCGAGAGAGGTTGAGAGATGTGATTTGGGATGTTTGCGGGTTGCATTTGATGCCGGACCAGGAACACCATGCGGGGTCTTGGAGAGTAGGGTTGGAGAAGGTTGGTGTGGGGTCCCAGTCATGGAAGGTGGAGTGAGGATCTCTGAGGGAGGATTTGAGGGAGAGGAGAGAGATGAGTGGCAGAGGGAGAGAAGCAGATGACACTAGGGAAAACCTGAGCAAGAAGAATGAGAATGACAGAAGCAAGAGAAGCGAAGAAGGTTTCATGGTTCCTAGGGAAGTGGAGAGAGATGGGTTGAGGGGTGAATGGTGCCGAGAGAAGAAAATTTAAGGGAAGGGAGGTTTTGAATTTGATGATGATGGTGTGAAATGCTTTTTGGGAGTGCTGGGTGCAGAGGGTGTTTCATGATGATGATGACTATAGCTTTCAGTGGTTTGGAAGAAAGAGTTGGAAACTGCTACAGGCTAATGCTTCGTTCTACCGTGTCATCTACTTGCTTTGCTCTGCTTTGGTCCCTTTATTTTGTAACCCCTACTCCTCAAACGTCACCTCTCTCGCTCCCTTTCCCTCTCTTCTTTCCCTTTCTTTCCTTCTTCAGTTATTTCGCTTTTTTTTTTTCTTTAACTTCTGGGAATTCTTTTGCTTCACTTTCAACATTCCTTGTTCCTTTAACTTTAGCCAAACAAAATTTGGTAGTAATCGAGCATGAATTACAGACTTACAGTGTCCTTGTTTTCTCACGGGATCCAAGAAAGTCATCTCTCTCTCTCTCGGATTGTTCTTAGAAAATAAGGTGAATACATTTGGTGGCATTAAGTGCATGGACAATGTTAGAAAATGATGTTCGTACCCATGGTTTGTCATCTCTCTGTTCTAATCATTATTTGTGATTAATGTAATGGGAGATGATTTGAGAGCTTTACTCCTGGAAGGCATAGAGCACGGGCATCTGATGTCTGGAGTCTGGAGGCAATACATTATTATACTACACAAATCTGGCATAAGTAGGCATGCGGAACCAAGCATTTCAAAAAATTTTAAAGACCTGAATCATGAGTCATGATTACAATCGCGCGCTCATCGCCAAAAGATTCATCTTTATGCATCAATCAACATTATGGCTCCGTATATTTCACATTTACGTGAATACCGGTCATGCAACCAATTTCTGGAGTAGAAGCTACGATTTCTCCAGCTACTTCGGACGCCTAGGAAAACCCATTGTTACGCCTGTGCATCATAATGCATTAATTACCGGGTTAAGGTTGAAGCATGATCATATGCATGAGTACTGGATGAACTCATCCGACCCAATGTACAATCATTTTGAACCCCATGCTATGTAGTGCTGATTACCCAGTAGTTTCTTTCAAGTAATGAATTTTGTCAGGAGGAAAGAATAGGAGTGAATTCCTAGGCCAGGCAAGGGTGGGTAACCGGGCATGGGATGGGGTGGTTGATGTCCATAAAGCCAAGGATATTCCAAAATCTTGTTTCTTTCCTGCAAGTTTGACTTCAATAAAGCGAGGCCATGATAGCAAGTACTTTGTATCATTAGATGTCCCCAGGAGATATCTCAATAATAAAGGGTATAGCATCAAAGCTTCAAATACCATCACTTTGGCAGAATTCAGTACTCACATCACATACGCTTGCACCTAAACATTCTTTCCTTTACTTGTATGAGCAATCATACGCATGATCGCAGAACAGGCTGGTGCCCAGCACAAGCATACAGTAAATTCTGCATGAATCTTACTCCGAGGCTTCCACAGATTCATGCTTCAATTTTTATGTACCAACGGAAGAAACATAGGAGACGACGAAGGGAAAGTTGCAGATCTCGCTCGGATACTATTTGTCAGTGCCTTGTATCTATTCTTGTCGCTATTTCAAGAAGATGTTCCAATGGTTTTGTGTGGGAGTTAATGTCACGTGAAGACAAGGGGCACAACAAAGGCGAGAATTGGGGGAGAGCAGTTGGAGCTTTGCGGGGGCCAAAAATGGAACTTCCAAATTGCCGATCTTGCTTTTCTTTTGCAGCAGAAGGAATAATTGTTAAAGAGAACAGTGGGTGGGCCCAAATGGGTATAGAATAGGCATGCTCATCCAATCTCATATCCCAATTGAAATTATTGTTTCCACATCCAGTCTCGTTCATGGTAGTTGTACAGGACCATTCATTTGTTCTTCAATACGTACTTATGACACATGCCAAGGATGAAAATTAACCATGACTTTTTACTCCAAGCTAGTGAAGTTTGTGTTCTTTATCCTATTTTTCCGATATATATATATATGCCAAGGTTATTTGGTGAATCTGTTAAGTGTCGTGGAGAGATGACCCATCATTGGATATATCGTGCTCATGTGAGCCAAGAGTACCCATACATACTTATGACACATGCCAAGGATGAAGATTAACCATGACTTTTTCCTCCAAGCTAGTGAAGTTTGTGTGCTTTATCCTATTTTTCCGATATATACATATGCTCAGGTTATTTGTTGTATCTGTTAAGTGTCGCGGAGGGATGACCTATCATTAATTAGATATATCGTGTTCATGTGAGCCAAGAGTACCCATACGTCAGATCGTGTGCCTCTCGCTTGAGACCCACTCGATCTAACGATCCTGATATGAATTTGGTTTACTGAGAAAATATATCAACCATTGTCTCCTTAATACCCTTCATGCACCCAGAGCAAACCCTCTTCCTACTTTGGCATTCCATTCGATTCATCCTGGCAGGTGTATGAACAGATAACATAAGCATGCTTCATCAGGCATGGACGGATACTCAAAAAAATCAGAGGAAGAGAGAATGATGAGAGTGCTGCTTGCTTGGTGCCTCGCGTGACGGGCATGACCCTACCCTCAAAAAGGAATACATGTCCACACGGAGACACAAAGAACAGCAATTTAAAGCATTCCGATGGTGGTTGGTGGTGGGCGTGCCTGCCTGCCTGCCTCGGAGCCACTTTGATTTTATGTCCCGAATTTGCGCCAATGACGTTCATTCCGCTTTTTGAGAAGAAGGTTTTGTCCCATTCCATTTCTCTGCATAAAGCCTGCGAATCCCCTCTCATTGCCCATGGCTTTACCGTGCTTTGGTAACTTGAGTGACCACCAAAAAGAAAAGAAAGAAAACATGAAACGTTTTAAGAATTCATAGTTTTGCTCCCCCTCTTTTCTTCTTTTCTCATGGAAAAATCTTCCCTGATGGATTCCCTCCTTTGCCATGGATTGAAATCTGAAAGCGCGCATAGAGTTGCTTAGTTACTTGAGCTTCGGACCGTTTCGATGTATATCAGTCGCATACCACCATATAATCGAGTATGTGACTGTCATGCTTCAACTCTTATATGTCCGGAACTAAGTTTTAGTATCGTTGTGCTCGAATATACTTTCTAAACATACTAAGCAATGACCTGATGTTTGCGTCCAAGTATAGGAGTTATCCTTTCGAGAGCCATCACATGCCTCATCATCGATGCAGATCTCGATAACATACCAGGTTTTATCATGTGACAGGATATAAGGGATTCAAAGATAACTAGGCTCTTCACTGAAGCTCCAACAGAGATCATGGTGACCCTACGAGTTGGCGCCCCCTCGGTCAACCTGTCTAGCTATAGGGTGTAAGATTGTCACGCTTGCATCACATGTTTAGGGTCATGTATAGTTAGGCAAAGGCAAAAGGCAAGCACTCAGATAAGTTCCATTTCTGGGAGTTATTAATCTATGCATGTACACAGTGTGAAATATCTCATCTCAAGGTCAGTAGAGCTCACTCTCTTTCAGCACTATTTTTGACCCGGTAATCTATCTGAGTAAATCTGATGAGTGATTGACATTCATGGAAACTGGTGAAAGAAACTGAGAGGTTGGGAACTATTATGGGAATATTCCCTTCGAGAAAAAAGGAGTCTTTTAACGAGGAAAAGGCAATCATTCATATGGAAAAATGTGGGAAAGAGAAAACAAACATGTTTTTCGATGAAATAATTGAAATTTCGGTTCGAATCTTCTACTCGATTTTCTCGCAATATAGCAGCTGCTGAAAGAGAAAGCACATGAAATATCGAATGACATTGCAGCGTGGAATTCGATTTCTATTCTTTGTGAATGAACTGAAGTGTCCAGATCAAGGTCCTTGTTAGTGGGATCTCTTTCTTTCCTGATAGTTCCCTAACACCTCACTTTTCCTTTTTATATGACTTGTTGCATCTTTGTCCGAAATGTGTCCACATCACTATATGTCTCTGTTGTGGTAAAACCCCCGGATAGTGACAGACAATAAGCAACAATTGTAAAGGGATTCGTGCTAAAAAAGCTAATCGTGAGATTACCTGGTTATCGATTGAGCATTGTGGCGAAAAGTTCGGACAAATCTTAGTACTAACGCTTGATATATCGCTTGGCCTAGTCTTTGTAGAGCAGGAGCACTGTGAATTGCTAGATAAATCCAGGTTTTAATGATAATTAAAAGCTCTTAGCACAGATAAAGTGAACCTGGCGGAAATGACTCGAATGGGTGAAGATATTCCTAGTCAACTGAAGCTCACATTACGCCTATGGACATTGAATCATCCCATGCATGTTAGTGGGAGAGACAGAGAGTTGAGATTGGGAAAAAAGTAGAATGATGAAGGTTTGAAGTTGAGTCGAGCAAAGCACGTGAGACCACCATTTCAAGTCAACAACAATAGTAATATCAACTTTAAGACCCTCTAATTTCAAGCAATCTGTCGCCTTAATTCCTACTTAACAAATGATTCGGTTCTTGCTTTCCCACCTTCTATGTCAACACGTAATTTGGAATCATATTGCATCACGAGTCTCGAGTTTGTGGACCAACCAAAGAGTGAAGATAACATCCCTCGTGGGAGTAATTCAACTTTGCTGTTTATAGATCGTGAGAAACTGCAATTTTAACTATGGCCACACGTAAATGATCTTTGCTTTCTGGGGTTGAAGGGGGGGAAAAATGAAAGCAGACAAATAAGAAACCCATGTGAAAGAACAAGCTGGCTAATACCACATCGAATTCGAGATCGTTGGTTCGGGTGAATCGATTTCGTCTCCGTGGTCTAAAGGAAAAGTCAAGGGAGGTGAACATTGATTTGATGAGAGGCCCCCATGTATTATCATTACCAGTCATGAGCTATCATTTTAGAGTGTCATCAGCTAAAGATGCTTTGACATGAAGTCATAACAGAGCGTAGAGTAGCACTTCAGTTTGTTCTGAAAGAATGTGTGAGAAAATTATGATATGTGACCAATGATTTAAGTCCTTCTAAAGGAAAGTAAAAGGAACTTATTTTTGGTTCTTTGGAACCTGCTCTGCTTGCTTTTATGGTGGTTTCATGTGAAGCTCCTCTGGCCTTCAGAAGCCGATGGAAGAAATAATTCTCGCCCCAAAAAATTTTTGGGTTTCAACCTATGAGTTATATTCTTGAAAAGAACACGAAAACACAAAACCCAGGAAAAATTATCTAAAAAGTCCTAAACTTATTATACGGTGGCCAACTTAATCCTAAACTTTTCAATTGTATCAGTTTAGTCACGAATCTTTTGACAATATGTCAATTTAATCATAAACCGTTTAATGATTTACCTTTGTCAATGTAGTATTTTTGGCTATTTTTTGCCGGAAGTCACCAATGTGGCAGTCCAATTAGCGCCGGCCGTCCTACATAGCGTGACCGACACTAACGTGGATCATTTTTTTATTTTTATTTTTTTATTTTTTTTCTTTTCTTTTCCTTCTCTTCGTCGCAACCCTCGCCCACGGCCGGCAAGGGCTTCGCGGCCCTTGCCCAGGGGTTGCCGACCCTCGGTCAGTGGCTGGCAGCCCTATCATTTCAATGAAGAAGAAAAGAAAAGAAAAAATAAAATAATAAAAACTTCTGAATTTTTTTAATTTTTTTTTAAATTATCCACGTCAGCACCGATCGCACTATGTAGGACAGCTGACGCTGACTGGATTGTTGCATTAGCGATTTTCGATAAAAAATTAGCCGGAATAATTATATTAGTAATTCATTAAAATGTTTAGGACTAAATTTGCAAATCGTCAAAATGTTTAGGAATAATAAATTGGCATAATTTAAAGGTTTAAGACTAAATTAACCGCCGTATAATAGATTTATGACTAAATTGGCACAATCGAAAAGTTTATGACTGAATTGGCCGTCGTATAAAGATTTACGACTTTTTGGACAATTTTCCCCGGATTCCTGCCCGCTTTCTTTGCTCTTCCCTCAACATTGCTCGGTAGTTTTAGCATCAAAGGCTGATTCGAGACTAGATGTTTCGTCTCATCACTCGTTCTTCTGTAACTTATCTCAAGTCATCTCGCTTTATTGTGGGCTTGGCATGACTTTGATTTTCTCCTTTTTCTTGCCAAACGCCCAACATCGATTATGAGATTAGCACGACAATTGTGCAGATGGCATATGATTATTTTCGGATCTCCCGTTGTAGAACAAAATTACCATCTCCCGGTTATATTTGTCGAGACAAATACCAATGCAGATTTTTACAAGAACTGGCATCCACCTGAGAAGCGCATGCAATTCCGTATTGTAAAAGCAAAAGACAACCACATGAAATCCACTCAAGGATTTAGGAATCTCACCTTCTAAGCAAAACTCGAGATTTCATCATTTTGCCGAAGAAAGTGGGGAATCACTTTTGATCTATTTTCGTTTTGGCTATAAGAGAGAGGCACAAAAAACCTCCCCTAGTCTCCTCCAAATCATGAGCTTCAGCTTCCTTTTCTCTGCTTTTTTCACCAGAAGCTTTCAAAACTCATAATTACCGAGCGCTTCCCACTGTTCGAATTTTGTTTTCTATGGTGACGTTAATGGAGGACAACTGATCACACTCGTTACTCGGTATCATCATTCTTTCGTCCTTGTGGACCTGCCCCCCTTCACCAACTCCTAACGGGGTTGCTACTCTCTCATTTCTCAGTTTGATCTCTTGATTTTCAACTTTAGTTTTGTCAAATTTTGGAAAAGAATCAGGCCTGCTGTTGCAAGTATATTCTTTTAATATCTATCTATCTTGAGTAAAAAATGAAGGTCGCGAGTTCAAATCCTAGCTCGAGCTTCCATCTTTTCTTCCCGAACGAACATTGAATTATAAGCTCAAAAGTAGATTCGAAAACACTTTATAGATGACTCGAAAATGTGCACAAGAGATTAGAAGGTTGTTATCTCTGAGCACTTTAACAAAGCATCCACTATTTTCATCAACTTAATACATTCTCATTTTTTAGCTAAAAGCTCATCATTATATTAGCGCCCAGTACCTGCATAGTGATTTTTACATACCATTCTCAAGTCGAGTCCTAAACAAAGCCTTGAAGATTCACATCTCATTAACCCAAAGAAAACCAGAGTAAAAAATGGGCTTTTGATTGAAATTTTCTGTTTTGGTTTAATCTAGTCGTTTCGTGCTCACTAAGATTTCCACAACGATTTATATTCAGAGGTAAAGAGAAAAAACTCCAACTCATACCCACCTGAATTACATTGGCCAGCACAGATTCCGGAACCAAACCACAGGGTGATAAATAAAACTTCGAATGAAAAAAAATGGTAATAAAACGCGAAATCTATCACCAATAACTCAACCAGCTAAAGGACTTAAGCCATTAACATAGCGGATAGAGCTCAGAAGCAAAAAACTCTAAAGGTCTGAATGTCAATCAAACTCCTCTGGTGTCTAACACAGTATAGAACCATACAGCTGGAAACCAAGGATAAAAGTAAATAAGAGTAAAGCCGTCACAAACATGGTCATGAAGATCAACGGTAACGACGCAGAGAGAGGGAGTTGTTCCTCTTCCAAGTGGCCCTTCTGGAAGGTCGTGCCTTGTGATGCGAGTGCCCCTTTCCACGCAGGCCTCTGTACTTCTTCCCAGCAGAAGTGAGTCCACGAAGCTCCCTGTGCTTGTGCACTGGATTGCAAATCCAATTGATTCTTGGATCCTTGCGAATGGTCTTGTGTGCAGCATCAACCAAGATAACCTCAAAGTATTTGTAAGTAGAATCCTGCATAACGTAAACCCATAAAAATGGAACTCCAGGATCTACTAGCCTCAGAAGATGAAAGGGCTTGAACCAATAAAAACAATGCAATGTAAAATAAAGAGTCAGAATAACATCACTCATTATTTTCCCAGGCAAAAAACAGTATACCAGGAGTAAATATCCTTGAACAAAAGCTTCATAATGAGTTCCTACCTCATTAATCCAGTAGGAATTGAGGACCTTGAGACCACCCAATTTCCTCCCAGCACGCTCCTCTGCGACGGAACGCTTGCTGCGCTGGAATTTCAGCTGTGTGACACCTTGGTTTGTGGGTTTACCATACACAATACCTTTAGGAACTGGCCTTTTTCTCCCACCGCGCCTTACACGTACTCGATAGATCACATAGCCCTGGAAAAGCAGTTCAATGATCTCTAAAGTAGCTGAAAGAGTAAACCAATCCCTAGTGTTTTTTCCGTATTCCGGCATATATAGCAGGGCACAGGCACTAGAAGAGACATGAGAGAGACAGAGTAGGGGAAGAAGCAGGCTCAACCGTGAGCAAGAATAAAATAGGATCACACTTCCATTGAATCACAACACGTCTGGGATTAATTTGAACCAAACAATTATGATTTCTAGAAGGACCCCCTGTGGGCATGGCATAAAGGCAACACTAGATATGAAAACTATCGAGCATAATAAGAAAAACGATATGCAGAGGCATATTAAAAACCTGTTTGGCCTTGTAACCCAGGCGACGGGCCTTATCTGGGCGAGTCGAATGAGTGACACGCACTATGGAAGGGTGCTGGCGGTACTCCCAACACCTCACCCTCTGCAGAAACCTCATGACATCTGATTGCTTCTTCCTCCATAACTCTGACACGTACTTATAGGCGCCTAACATTCAAACGTAATAACTTAGAATGCCATAATCGGAACAGGAATAATAATGTAAGCTAGTGACTGCAAATGCTACAAAATCATGTTTCCACAGCATAACATAGCTCTTAAATTAACTGACATCTAAGTAGAGACAGAAGTCATCGGAAAATAAATAACCCAATGCGAAATGCAACATAGAATACTACTTCCCAACAGATGGATCCACGCGACTTATTTTCCTTTCCAAATGCTCAAGTTCAAAGACAAATTCATAACTCCAATCAGTTCTATTAATGTCGTCGAATGCAGCATTCTGCTCAAAGAAACTCCAGCGAACCGACACTCTAGAAGAACACATCAGGTTTGGTGCAATTTCCGTCTTTCCTTTCCTATCCCAGAATTCGTTTTACCCTTAGAATTCCTCAACAAGTTACGAACTTGTGCCTGGATATGCCAATGCAAACCCAACTAGCTAGCCGCGCTTCCTCTGTTATCATCAGATACCGTTCTAAAAAGGCGTTCCTTTCCCGCCACTCGCCGCAGACTCGTGAATCCTCATCATCTAAGACAATCAACACTTCCGCACAATCTCATACCGAGCTCATTGATAATGGGCAAAAGCAGAGAAATCGAAACAGAGCATCATGAATCTTTCACATCTCGCGTTCAATCAGAATCAGTGTTTACGGCTATATGCATCAACTACGCATCACCGAAAGCATTTGAACAAGTCATTTCAGCGCATCCGAGCGTTAAGCTAAACAAGATCGACGCATGTGAAGATCTTTAGAGAGAGAGAGTCGAGAGAGGAATACGTACCCATCGCAGCTTCGTCTTCTTCGGGTTCGCTTGCCCCAGCGAGAGAGGAGGTCGGCACTCGGCAGAAGAGCGATGGGCAATCAGGTGATTAGGGTTTTTAGACAGAAAAGGAGGAGGAGTGCGCGAAGTGATGGAATGACTAAAATGCCCCCCCAAAGATGGGCTCGACCCCGCGTTGCGATCAGGCCCGGTGAGAAATGGGCCGGACTGATCCTTGGGCTTTTCCGGGTCGTCGGATTGTCCATCCGATTGGGCCATGCGAATCGAGCCCGTGTAAACCAAAATGCAGTCCGTGCTAACAACACGATGGCTTATTTATAAAATTAAAAAAAAAACAGTTTATTACCCACCCTTTTGACTCGACTAATACACGTAACACTTCTTGAATGGAAGAATCGTGAGGGAAATAATCATAATCTATACTTTAATTCCTTAGTTTAACATCGTGATCAGTTGGTGCCGATTCGTGCATTAGAAGGAGGCACTGCATTTTTCCACGATCGGGTGGTATGATGGGCTAATTTTCGCTGCACCAAATTGAATTCACTTCCTCGACTCAGGTCGAAAGTGGGCCATCAATATTGCATTGTGCATGTGCTCAATTATATCGCGTGAAAATTAAACCTAATAGTCCACTCTTCTTTTAAGTTGGGTTGAATGACACAAATAGTTACTTTGAATCATGATTATGATTATTGTAGCTATTTTCTTTAACTTTAAATTTATTCGATGTGATTCCCGAATTCTTATTTAATTAAGTGAATATCCATAATCTATAATTTGATTCATATTTAAAACTAAATGAAAATATTCAATGTTGTCCTTCAAGAACTAAACTGAACATATACAAAAAGTTTAAAGATCACACTGAACAAATTAAAAGTTCATGAACGACATTATACATCAGATTAAAGTTTAGAGACCGCATCGAATAAATTTAAAGTTCATAAATCACATAACACATTAGGCCCACAAAGTTCAATAATTATTTGTACCAGTCCTACGATCCTTCCGTCACGCTGTCCAGAGTCACTAGCTAATCGTCATGAACTAGCCTAATTCGACACGTGAGAATGTAATTGAGGATTGAATTATATCGGAAGGAATCGATTCCAAGCATTGTCTTGTCACGGACCAACCAAATCCCCAATCTATCTGGTCGATATGTATTGGTGGGAAAGACGACAAAGACACATAATTACAAAGATGACATTAGGAATTTCCACCCACAAACCAACGCGAATACCAATCAACCGCAACCTTTAGCTCGACCCGGATGGAACGATTTCGATTGCTCATTATTGAGGATAGAGACGTGAATCTGACCGCGATTACCCGATTTCTCGAGTCGTATTCCGTAGGTTGTCAAGTCCATCTCACGCCGCTCTTTCGTCGCTTAGCTTGTATCCCCACGCGTCATTTCTGCCCCCCTAGATTATTATAATAGGGGCGCATTTTTCTTGCTTGTGGGAAGCAAACAGTCTAGGAATCGAACGTGTTGTTTTCGCACCCTTCCTACTCTTTTGCATTTTTGCATATGTTGTCAATTGAACATTTCCTATTCCCGTTGCAGTCCCCTAGAAAGCAAGAGTCTCTCTTTTCCGCCCCAAAACATGAATCAGAAAATCAGGCAAAGGAGTGCTTCTTCTTGGGCTTAACTATTCGGAAGATGAGCGCCCGACAACATGACATCGAGATACATGGGATAAGTGTATAAAAAATCCTAAAACTTGTCACGAAAGTGCAATTAAGTACTAAAACTTTCAAAAAATGTAATTAACGGAACGAGTCAATTTACCAATTCGACAAATTTTAGGATTTGTGTGCACTTTTTGAAAGTTTTTCGACTCAATTACACTTTATGACAATTTTTATGACTCAATTGCACTTTGCAAAAATTTTAGGATTTAATTGCACTTTCGTAATAAGTTTTAGGACTTGCAATGCACTTATCCCGATATTCATTGAGTCTTTCAACTTTATGTCTCCGCATCCTGAAAGTATGCATTTAGAAACGACATAAAATTTTTCGTACTTCATGGTGCTATGATATTTTCTAATTTCTGTTCACAGCACACTGAGTTTGATGGTATACAAATTTAGATTAGACAAAGAAAAAACCACGCAGTGCATTAGATGTTATTTGGAAAACAACTAAATATAACCCGAGATTGACAACATTTATATATTCGTTATGTCCATACATTGAATAGCATTGGATGCATTATTAAATCATGATTTGCATAGAATTGAATAGTAATGCAGTAGTCATTGTATGATCATCTCGTTATCGTCATCATATGCTCATATGCACGCCTCACGCGCGCCCACGCATGGAGAGAGATTATTTGTTATTTGGTTCTAATTATGGTTAGAGGCGAACAAATATGAATATGCATTCTCTTTTCCTATTCTCTTAGTTTTCTTTTATGGCAAACTCATTCCTCGGGCTCTAAACATATTCGGTATCTTATCCTATTCGAAGTGCATTACCAAATATCCAAAAAGATGCATTTTGCCTTATGCGTCTCGAATTACTAAATGCAGTCGAAAAGATTGGTCAAGTTGGTTAAGTATCACGTCGGACACTTTAAAAATGATAAATAGAACACGGGATGACTATTTAAGAAAACACAAGATATTGTGATATCAATTATAATCAATTCGGGGATAAAGGCAATTAAATCACGTGAGATAGATACATGCACAAAAGCCTAATTCATATGGAAAATTAATGGAGAGATTTTAGAATCTCCACAATATATATCCAAAAAATTGGATTTTTCTTTTCTTTTTGGGCCTTGAGGGACCTATTACAATAAGAGAAAAATAGAGGGGCCAAATTGCAAATATTTCCCATCTTTAGAAGAAGACTGAGGATTAGAAATGAGTAAAAAAAAATTGCGTCCGATCCTCAAGCACATCCCTGCAGCCTCATCACTGTCCGAAGCAGAAGAGTACAAGATTGGATTCTGGAGACGGAGATCGCGACACCCTCCTCCTCCCCGACAAAAAAGCCACGACCTTTGCTCCTCCTCTCGCCTTCCTCGCTCGACCCATTCAAGTTTCCCATCTCCGGAGAGGATCGCGCAGCACATCGCCGGCGGGGAGCATGAGAAGAGGCTCGTTTGGTGGCATGGGAGGAGGGAGCAACAGCGTGTTTAGGACCCTCGGCCGGTCGGTCGTCCGAGCCGGCGTTGCCGGCGGGGGCGGAGGCGGGGGCGGCGGTGGCGGCGGTGGGTTGCAAGAGTCCTTTGCCGCTTCCTCAAATTCCTCCCCTACTTCTCCTAGAAGTGCCTCTGGGTCTGGCCACAAGCTCAGCTCTAGCCACCAGCTTTCTCTCTCCTCTGCTACTTCGCCCTTCTCACCATGTAACACCATCCCGGTATCTGCCGCTTCTGGCGTGCCCACGTGGCTGCCTTTTGCGCCGTCGTCTGAGGTCGATGATTACGAGTGGGTGGTCGCTGATGGGATTGAAGACGAAAGGAGGAGCTTTTACCTCGATGATTTCGTTCTTGGGTCTGTTCCTTCCACCGACGAGGTTCACGGTGCCGTTTCTGCTATTCAACAGTGTGTATTTCTCCATTTTCTTTTCTGTTTTTCCATTTAAGTTCTTGTGAAGTGTTTACTTTTCGGTTTCTGGTATTATTTGTGTTTTTTAATCCTTTCTTGGCAAATTGGAAAGGTTGAGGAGTAGGGGACGCATTTTGAGTGTGTATATGGGATTGTTTTCACGTCTCTTTCAAATGGATTGAAGGGTCTGCTTTCATTTGTTGAAGTGTGGATTTAATGTATTGGGGGTGGTATAGAGATGGCCCACAAAAGGGGGTTAACTTGGTTTCATTGTTTCTTGTGGTTGTGGCTGATTGATTGCCACCACACTGGTGATTGCAGTGATGTTGCCAAGGTATTACACGTGGCTTATGCGACCCAAGAAGCAAATGTTTTCTCTCTAATAAGCAATTACTGATAGGTGTGATTTGACAGTATGTAAGTTTCGGCCGTGATATAATATCATGCTGAAACTAATGGTTAACATGCACATAGATGCAAAATAGACGAGAGAATTTCCTTGACAATAATTAAACTGCTGGCTATATTGGAAGCAACTGGTTTGATGCATGTCAATTTTGAATGCCGTTGAATGGACTAATCAAGTTGCTTTCAACTCTTTTTGATGGTCCAGCTTGTTAGTCGCCTGTACCTTTTCTTTTTCGTTTGAGTTTCCTTTGTTTCCTATAAGTCCATCATTTAATCAGCTAGTGACAAGTATGCTTGACTTCATAAGAAATTCGTGACGATTGGAATGGGTGGATGGACCACATAACTAACGACGCAGTACTCTTCAAGTTCTCAATAGTTTCTCTCCCCCGGATAATAATAAAGGGAATCGAATAGTACATGTGTTGACATAGATGGTTCATTTGAGCAGAAACTGTTGATAAAGCAGAATTTTTTTGAGCTGGACATTTTAAGCAGCTCCATGTACTTTAATTTTATAGCCCGAATGGCATATTCCAATAATGACAGCATGGACCTTATATGTGCCTTTGCTAGTTCCTGGCGACATATATTAGAATTTAAACCTCCTTCTCCTTCAACAGCGGTGGATGTATCGGCAGGTCCCTCCTTCCTCTGAACATCTTCTGCATAGATGTTGAAATCCCAACATGCTTTTCTTCACTTTTCTGACTGTTTGGTTGTGTGTGGTAACTTTTAAAAGCCGCTGCTGAATTATTTGGTCTACAGGGTTTTCGATTCTGGGCCATACTCTCAGTATGTCCGGGACAGATTCAGTCCATATGTGGACAAGGATCTAGATCAGGTGAAAAACACCTCTAATTTGCTGCCTCGAGTTTCTTCTTCTGGATCAGAGATGGATTGGATAGAGCCTGCTGTTCATCTTTCTAACTCTAGAGCATTGCAACCGTATGAACAAGTATACGATGCTTTCCACTTGCTGCAGAGGGACCCGTCTGTTCAGGTAGGTTATTTTCTTAGTTGTATGCAAAGGATTCGTAAATCTATTTACTGGATTCATCTGTCGAGAAGTATGATAAATATGTGATTGCAGAAGATGATTTCAAGTGTTGTTGTTAAAGCATGGTGAATGTTAAAATGTGTTGATAGTCTCCCCCTACCCGGCCCAACCCAACCCAACCCAACCCAACCCAACCCAACCCAACCCTTCTCTTTTCTTTTCTGTTTTTGGAAGACATTTGGCAAACAAGCATATTCTGAATTAGTTAGATCTTGATGTTGCAATTTCTTGTCCTTTAATGACATTTAACATGCTTTTGTAAGTGTGTCAAAGAGCGCTCTGGCTTTGCCAAAGAGAGAGACATCAGCATTCCACCCAACACTGTTCATGCACGAGTTAATATTTTTCCGATCCATTTTGGCAGAGGATGGTTATTTCACTGTCATCGGATAAAGCTGTCTGGGATGCTGTTTTGAATAATGAGGTAGTCAAGGAGCTCAGAGAATCATGCCAAGCAGGTCGGTATCCTTTATGCAGAATCCGTTAGGTCTTTGCATTTTTCTTTTCTCATTTTGCTTGGTACATTTGCTATTCTGTTTGTTCAGCCGAATCTTTTCACTCATGCAAAAGAATGCATCATCTCAGGAAAGTTTCAGGTTGTTTATTAATAAAGCAGAGAAGCATGTTTTTTGGTTCATAATATTTTTGGCGTAGCTTTGTCAGCTGATTGATCTAAATCATAGTCGTGGTTGATTCTGTCAAAGGTGCGGTGTAGGCACATCTACAATTTCTGTTGAACTTATTTCCCTATCATTTTGCCATTTTGTTACTTATCTGAGAGGTAAAACAAATAGATCCAGGGGTTTGAACTTCTCGGCTGAGTTTTGGTGTTAGAGTTGAAATTGAATTTGATTTTTTGGCCATATTTGATTTCAGCTATTATCACAGTATGTCAAATGTGTTCTTCACACCTATCACTCAAGTGCTGACTTCAAATAAGCATGACAGAATTTCGAGTGGCTTGCTTGGTAATAAGTACAGATTTTTAGCCTACTCACTTTAGATTACATGGTTGCATGCAGCGGAAATTAGTAGTATTCCAGATATAAGCTCGGATGAGAGCTCCGATGATTCCAATGGAGTGGTTGATGTGGTAAGATGGATGTTTGACAACACCGTGTCAAAAGTCACGGAACTGATTGAGAAGATCACAAAGCTAGTCGGGGACTTGTTCGAGGTGCCTCCAAATGAGGAGCCCGCCTCATTAGGACCTGCTGACCCCTTTGAGGAAAAGCTGAGAATGTCATTCCTACTATCCGTCGTGGTCCTCCTGGTCGTAGCCGTGACTCGAGCTCACAAGGCTTGACCTGACCATCATTTGTCGACATGACTTTGTAAATTAACAGTGATTCCTCTGTCTTCTCTGCATTTAGCTGTAACTTATGACAAGTGCGCGATTTTAGTTTACTGTGGTTAGTAAAAACTATCAGAACAACTTCTGTTTCATATGTCAGATAAATAATGGTGTTTGGTAACTTTTTTATCTTCTGTCTCCCATTAGTGAAGAGGTTAAATGGGATTTATTGCCCCGTATTCTATCCTTTCTTGTTTTGGTAAAGATCAACTCCTTGGACAAATTACAAGCATTAAATTATTGAATTGGTTAAATGTAGGGTGTACTAAAACCTGCAAGCGAAACATTATTATTGTTGGTTAGCCTGGTATGAAAATTACTGGACGGCAGCTTCATCCGTTTGGTTAAGAAGTGAGAGAGGATTTAAAGAATGATAATCGGAAGGGAATGGTATGGGTACAGAGAGATGAAACGAGGGCTATGGTTCTGACTTCCGTTGGTTGAATTGCTAGTCGTTTGTCGATTCATAATTCTGTACTGTTTAGTTGGTTAAATCATGGAAGAATCATTCTCGGACTCCGTGACTAGCGAAAGCAATGATGAGTCCATTAGATACAATACCTGATCTGTCAATGCCATCATATATACAATACAAACTTTCCGATGAATTCACCAACCTACTGTGCTATCCAAAGAAATGTTGGTGACTTTTCGAAGAGATTAGTAAAATATCCGGTTAGTAAATTTGATGGCTTTCCATGAGAGCAAACTTATACTTTGCAGGTAGATTGCACCCCGCAAAAGTAGACATTCGTTAGCAGTAATCAGATCTCGATAAGTCACTGACAAACAATCGATTCGTCAGTTTCGCCGCAAGGCCCACGGAAGGGTATTACTGGAATGGCAAGAGGGAGTTCACCCGTGATAGTTTTTTCTTTTATTTGGTCGAAACCCCATGATAGTTGAAAAGCTTCTTATTGGAGTGGCGCCTCACATTGACGGCGGGTGGTACTTTGCTAGGTAGATTGCACCAGCCGTGCAAAAAGTAGACATTCGTTAGCAGAGGAATCAGATCTCGATAAGTCACTGACAAACAATCGATTCGTCAGTTTCGCCGCAAGGCCCACGGAAGGGTATTACTGGAATGGCAAGAGGGAGTTCACCCGTGATAGTTTTTTCTTTTATTTGGTCGAAACCCCATGATAGTTGAAAAGGCTTCTTATTGTAGGGGCGCCTCACATTGACGGATGGTGGCTATTTGCCCTATTTGAAAGCAGCCAAGCCGATGCCAACAGAGCAATCAACGATTTGATGCACGAAACGGAGGGAATCAAAAAACCAATCCATACCCTGAAGGAACAAAGAGAGTAAGGCTCGTTGGGGCAGGCTCAACCTCACGTCAATAGTGATTGATGATGGCTTTCAAGCCTCAAACAGGCGGCCGCGCGGAGCCGCACGTTTGTTAAATATTTTGTGCCCGAGCCGCAATTTTCGGTTTGAAAGAAAAAAAGAGAAATAACATAAATAAATAAAAAATTCAAAATTTATTAAAATATTATTAATAAAAGAACTTTGTGTTTTTTCAAAATCGATTTTTCTTGGTTTTTTTCTATTTTTTTGGTTGTTGTTGTTCTTCGGCCACCAAAGAATCATTTCGCCGAATCGGTCTAGGACGGCTAGTCAAGGCGCGAGGGCGGCTCGTGGCCTCGTCCAATCAAGGCGAGGCTGACCTCGCCGTCACCACCCAGGTCCATCGCCTGGGTGGCGACGGCGAGGCTCAACCTTGCCGTCGCTAGGGTTGGCGACGGCGAGGTCGAGCCTCGCCCAGCCAAGGCGAGGGCGGCGGCGAGGGCCGCGACGCCCTGGCCTGTGCCGGCGGCCGGCCATGGCCAAGAAAGGAAGGGGAAAGAAAGAAAATAAAAAAGAGAAATAAAAGAAATAGTAGAAATAAATATTAAAAAATTCAAAATATTATTAATAAAGAGAAATTTTGTGTAGTTACCAAACGCATTTATGTTCTTTTTCTATTCTAAGAACAAAAATTTTGGATAGTTACCAAACGCCTTCAAATGCTTATAAATTATTTCCAGGCACAGAATAAAAAATAATCATTTCTGCCCAGAATCAGATTCTGGGTACAGAATGGTTGCCATGCGCAGCCTAATTGCCCAAGAGTAGCACATGCGCACGTTCGCATATTCTTTCCATTTTCCATATTATCGACAACAGCAATCTGTCACCAAACTGCCATAGTAATACCTTAAATTCCTTTCCTCTCACCAATGCTCTAATCTCTCAAATTTTGGATGACAAAGATATTTAGGAATCATAGGTAGACGAAAAAAAATCAAGTATTGATGCTCCACGGAATAAAGTTTAAGATTTTTTCCGAGATTATTCGTTAAAACAATAATTTACGATCTCAATAATTTACGATCTCAAGTTTCGTCACTTGTATAATCAAGATAATTATTATAACAAAAGTTTCTCTCTCTCAACCACTCTCATCATTGATCTCTCTCTTTATAAGTTACAACTAAAGTTCCAAATCACCTAATTCAACCCCTGTTCATTTAATTATTTATTTTTTATCTGGTGCTTTAATAAAGATCATCCGAGTCGCTCAACTTGACAGACTTGATTCAACCTAGTTTTGAAATAAATAAAAAAAAAAACCAAACAAGAAATCTACGACGGAAATTATTAATTATGGTTAAAACTTCTAGCAAGGAAATTTTTCCCCAGCTTTCGAATGATGCTTTGAACACAAAAGTTGAATCAAACGTGATCAATCTCAAACCCAAGCGACCAAATTAAAGCAAATGCCAAAGATCCAATATTCAAGGGTGGAATCAAATCCTGGAATGTGGGATTAGAAGTTTCTAAAATTTAGATAGGTATTCACCTCATAACTAGTATGATAAATCCAATATAACTAAAAGAAACGGCGTTATACTTTAAGACAATTGCAATCACATTAAAAGATGTATACATGAATCACACACATCATCCTTTCCAAAAGAGTTGGTCCAAAATACTAAATTATCCGAGAAAAGGTAACGGAGAATAAAGAGGACATGGACATCGGTTATGCGGTGCGACATTGGTTAGAGAGTTGTGTTGTCGTCTCGTGTAATAATGTAACAGTAGTAGTACGTCTATCCGGAGGGAGACGGCCAACATGTCCTCAAACGTAAAATTTTCAGCCACATGAAATAGAAGTGGTAAATGAAAAACCATAAAAAAAAAAAATCATCATATACTAAGCAAAGAGAGTGATTATGGTCGATCTAGCTTGTGGCGTCGTTATACCGAGATGGATTGGGATTTAGGAGTGGCTCGCCAGCCACGGCAACAGTCCAGTCCCGGGCAAACAATGCGAAGAGGAGGAGGGAGGAGACATTGATGGCGAGGACACTCTGAGGTGGTCGATGGGATCGGAACTCAGGATCGCTCTCCTTGCATCATCGATCCTCCAATAGGGTTCATCTCCAATGCTCCTGGTCCCTGCGACGGCACTGGAAGCTGCGCAAGCTGGTCATAGAGAAGAGACAGAACAATCAAATAAGTATGTCTTAAAGGTTCATTTTTGAATTGGGAAAGGAAGGGTTAAATGGTGGAGAAGGATATGACATACATACAGCAGGAATAGGAGCACTGTTAGAAGGGGTCAGCACCGAACTGTGTTGTCTTCTTTTATACGTGAGGGCAGCCGATGAATTTGATGGAATGATTTCGCTATTGTCGTTAGAGATTCCGCTGCATAATCCGCTACAGTAACCAATGTTCTGGTTGGTGGGGACTTCGTTGAGGTTGATGAGAGATCTCGGAGAGGCCATTGGAACCAACAGGGGATGAGGCGGAAGAGTCGTAGTACTGGGCAGAGCAGCGAGGGTGACGAGGCGTTTCTCGGCTAGTGGCTTGACCGGCGAAGTAGGCAGAAGTGGTGGTGAGGTGGTTGAGGAGGAGACTGAAGGGGGAGTGGGGGCCACAAGGAGGTCTTGGAGGCGGAGCACCATCTCAGACGGTGGGGAGGTGGTGGTGCTGGGCCAGAGGAAGGTGCCCTGAGGCTTGCAGATCCTGAACCCACTCTTTAGCCTCTCTATCTTGGCTGCTTTGTCCTCTATCCCTCTTGTTATAATCGCTGTTGTTTTGTCTTGGTAGTGCAATTTGTCTTCTTCTTCCTCCTCTGGGCTTTTTTCTGATTCATCTGTCACTACAGCATTTGCTAGTTTCTTCTTCCTTTCTTCTGCCCCAAGTCCTGATTCGGTTTCGGATGATCCTTGGGTTCTTGGGTTCATTGCTGATGATGGCATTGTTGTTTCTTCCGATTCTTGCGAGGCTCTTGATTCCACAGCAGTTTTCAATTTCAACATCTCCGTCGCTTCCTGCTGCTTCATCCATTGCTTCTCGCAGATATTGACATAAAGAGATTGCAGAAATGTTAGAACTCAGATCATCAAATGCTGGTGGATGAACTTCATTCTCATATATAATCGTTCTCAGTAAAAGAGCAGTAATTGTATTTCTCAATCCTTGCTTGTGCCATTTACAAATAGGAGAACTGGCAAGCAAATTCTTTTGGTACCTCCACTGCACAAAGAAGTTGTGAGACCTCCCGGAGCTGGTCCTCCATTGTAGCTTTCCTTTTCTTCAATTCAACATACATTTCCTGTTTACAAAATTATCGGTTGATTAACAGACTACAAAGCAGTAAAACCAACTAAAATATGGATTTAAAAGCTCACTTGAAAAAAGAAAGCAAAAGCAGCATAGTCACCTTTATTGGAACTAAAGGGCTATCATGGTCCAAGTTCAAACAAGAGATGCAAGATGTTGGGGTGGTCTCCACAGCGAGATCTTCCTCTTGCTTTTGGGACACCAACTCTTGCATATCTCTGCCCATCATTCATCCAGAAATATTAAATCCTGTGTAGCAGGATGAAGCTAATTCCGGCAAAGAGACGTGCCAATTTGAGTATCTTTTTGCCAGAAAGACTAAAGTTGCCTTACTTTGTCTGTATCCTATACTTTAAGGAGCTAGTTAAAACATTGTAATGCACATCGTTACTATGTTCAGCCTCAAACCAAAGTGAATACGTACATGTAAAATATGAATAGGTGAGAATAATCTATTAACATTTGTCAGCCATAGACTCTCGATTAATTAACATATCTACGCAATAATGCAAGACAATTGCAATTCCACTTGCTCGTTTAGCACTTCATCATTAATATTCACTGAGGTGTCCGTCGCCCGGTCGAAGAGATTATAAAACATTTCGCATTTAATAAATGTGACCGAAAATTATTGGAAGTAATATCCTGTCCTCAGATTCCATCAAAAGCGATTTCTTCTCCACTCCACTCGTGGAGGAGTCTCTATTTCCATCAGAGACGGAGAAGAAAAAACACATGCGGCGGACGAACTAACTATGTATGGCTAGCCATCTGATAAACAGAAATTCATGAACGACAACAACAATCATTTAACCCAGCTAATACATACTAACAAAAACTAAAACGGGTATAGCATATGACCAAAAAAAAACAGAAAGAAAAGAAAAACCTTTAGCAACCTTCTTCAGCAACACGAAAATACAAAAATGTATATAGATACCTCTTCAGGTTGGCCATCTCTTCTTTGAGCTGCTTGATCTCCCGGGCACAGGTCGGGTCCTGGGTGGGATTATCCCCGGGTTTCCACCCGGGAGGCGGAGTCCAGTACGGATCCTCCACGCCCACCGCCTTCCTCACCTCCATCAGGTCCGAGCTCTCCAGCCAGTACTCCATCGCCCCGTCCGCGTTGTGCCTCCTCCGGAACCTATCCGCCCCGCCCGGCGCCAACTTCCCTGCCATGTGCTTCAGCAGGTGGTCCAACAGCCCCGTGTCTCCTATCAGCTTCCGCGCCTCCGATCTCAGAGCTGGCCTCAAGATCGGATTCCCGGACACCGCCCGCTTCTCCTTCAGTATCTTCAACATGTTTTGCTCCGCCAACTTATACCTTCAGCATTAAACGAAGAACATTCATGTGTGTGCTCACTTTGGCTGTGCATTACAAGATGGCATTTATAACAGATCGAGTTGGGGGGTTTCTCATTAATGGGCAATGAATCCAGAGTTTATTCTCACCTCTCTGCTGACCACCTATCTATAGAGCCTTTGATCACCTTTCGCTTGCTGTGATAATGAGAATGAACCTTAACAACTTGCGATTTTTGGTCGCGCTTAACTCTTTTGCTCGCCCGTGTTCTCTTTTGTCCTTTGCACTTTCTCTTCCGGGTCTTCCTAATAATGATCGCAGTTGAAGGTTCTGCTGCTTCTTCATCCTCGTCCTCCTTTGCCTCATCCTTCTCTTCTTCATCCGTTTTTTCTTTCACTTCTGGACTCTTCTCAACCTCTATCTCCCGATCTTCTGTCGTTTCTTCATTATCTAGACAGGTTTCCTTCTCTTTCTCAGTTTGCCCATGCTCGACGCTCTGCGACAGAAGTTTTAGGTTGTTATTGTTCTCGGCGTGCCGACTGAGGAATCTGACCTGCCGGCGCTTCCCCCACCGGACCATCCCGTTGCACCTGAGCTCAGACCAGCACGTGCCCTTCTTGGCGTTCACAGTGCTCAAGGCAAGGCTCGACGCTCTCCCGTACGCCCAGAAGCCCCACGAGCTTTTCCTGTGTGCCAACTCCTCCGCTGCGATCCTCCGCATGAGCAGTTCGCCAGCAATTTCAGACCCCAACACATACTTCTCGTCGAGCGCTGGCATTTTCTTTTTGTCAGTCTGGTCGCCGGAGCTGAAGTGCTTTCTCAGGGAGTAAATGCTGGGGAATCTCAGCGATACGCTCAGCCCACCCTTTTCACTAACCTGCAAAAAAGTTTCAGATACGTAAAGTTACATACACCCGTGCTTAAAGACAACTGCAAAATTCCTGGGTGAAATATTCACGTTAGAACCGTATCGATTGATTATCACCATGGCTACGCGAACTAGCTTGAGCTGTTCTGGGTGCTTTGATGAGAGCTTGTCGTGATCAATTTCGTAGAAAAACCCCGCCGAAACCCCTTCTGCTGCATATGCAAACAAAAGAACAAAAAAGTAGAGATCATCATCATCATCATCATCATGGAAAGAGAGAGAGAGAGAGAGAGAGAGAGAGAGAGGGAGGGGGGGGGGGGGGGATATCGAGAATTTGAAAACTGGCTAGGTGTAGCTCTCGGATACGTTGAGAGGGACAAAGAGGTAACAGAAAACTGAGGACAAACGAATCAGAGGAGGAGGTCTGATGATCGACGGGGACGGAAAAAGGAGGAGTTGGGGGTGGTGTCTGAGAAAATACCTTGGGCACAGTGCGTTGTCGCTGCGAACGGTACTATCTGTCTCGCCAAACATGGGGTCTGCGCGCCGTCTTGGCTGCTTTGTCCTCCCCTGCTCAAGTACATCGTTCTCTGCAAATAAACACAGTCCACACTGAGAGTCACCCCCCCTCTCTCTCTCTCTCTCTCTCTCTCTCTCTCTCTCTCTCTCTCTCTCTCTCTCTCCTCGATCAGCAGCGACGATCTTCACCGGCTTGCAAATGGGAAAAGCCCGATTCAAAAGACGCTTAAAACGACCCGATTAAGCCTTGTCTCCGAGTGCGTGTGTGCGGGTGACTTTTGAGTCCGGGGGAAGAATGATACGCTGCATGTAATGATGGTGATCATATAGATACAGCTGCGATATGCTACGTTCGTTCATGCAGGTTATCATCATCGCTAATCACCTCGGCCTTTTTGGTCTTTCGTTTTCAGCCCCGCTCTGCTGCATGCACGCACGTAATTCGTGCCAACGCGGGAATCGCTAACGCAACAGAGCACGGCGTTTCCCCACTCTCCAGGGGAGCGCGTGGGTGGGACGCTATGGACTTGCGTTTATTCGTTTCTCGCTTTAAAAAAGGCGCGTGGCTGTGGCCCGCGTGAGGAACGCGTGGTTACGTTCGCGGGGATGGGGAGTATAACAGAAAGAGAGAAAAAGAGAGATTCCAGTGGTGGTTTTGTGTGCAGCTGCTCCATGAAAAAGCGAGCTTTTTCTTCTCCATGATTAGGGCTTCGAGAGCATCAAAGCGAATCATTAACAGAAATAAAAAAAGAAGGTTTCATTTGGATCAGTGCTCAAAAAGAGAACAGAGATCACATCGAGTGAGGAAATCGAGTCAAGCTCTTGTTGCTCGTTCGAAGCTGGAAAAGGAATGAATGTGTTCGGGACAAAAATGGCAAGCTGAGCGAAAAGTTGGGAGATGGACCTGCGCAGTTTTAGGCTTTGACTGGGGGTCGCAAGCAACGGGAATCATCGACAATCAAATAAGAACGACAGACTTCGAGGATATGCTTGTGAAAATGGATGAACATCGGTCATTTTCAGATCGAAAGCATTAAATGAACCGGATTGCTTGTTGGCAAAATGCCTAGCTTCAGGCGATCGGTTGCTTCTGTTATACTGTAGCATGATGCACGCAGAGCAGAAAAAAGAGTAGGAATAGACGAGTCCCAGTAGGAGGACAAGTTCAAAATAAGAGAAGAAGAGAGAGAAGAAGAAGAAGAAGAAGAAGAAGAAGAGTGTCTTTGTTAAAAGGCCGTGCTAAAAAGCTAGGGAACCACGCGGTTCCCTTCATCGATCAGAGACAAGAAGCATAAACCTGAGGAATGGATGCGGAGATTTCTCGACTATTTTCCCGCATTTTCTCGCCCGACAAACGGCATGGAGCATTGGCTGTAACGGACAACGCACTACGCGAAAACCACAGAAACGGAGTAAAGCTCGTACCTTTACTGGAATGGCCGAGTCTCGACTGGCCCTTCGAGCTCGGATCCTGCAAAAGAGATGGAACTTTTGAGGGCGACGGTCGATGGAAACGACTGAGATTAGAGAAGAAAACCATAGAGAGAGAGAGAGAGAGAGAGAGAGAGAGAGAGAGAGAGAGAGAGGACGAAGAGGAATGGCCAACAAAACCTCCAAGGTTCGGGTGCCTGAGAAACGAAATCTCTGAGAAGCTTCGAGGTTTTGCTTGAGAAAATGGCGATGGAGGGGAGAGAGACAGAGAGGGAATTCAGTTATGCATGGGGAGAGTGAATCAGCAAAAATGGAAGAATCGTTGCTGGAGGAGGGGGAGAGAGGGAGACGATGTAATGATTGTGCAGAGACGAGAGAGGAGAGAGAGGGGAGAGGGGTGTTGCTCCTCACGTGCCTTCGTTTCTAATTCCGTTTCTGGTCCCACAACCGTGAAAAAACCCCCGCGCTTCGAAATGACCATCTTATCCCCGGTCTTTGTGCGCGGAGAGTTTTAGGCACATCGACCAGTAAGCGGGCGACACGTGCCAGAGTTCACAGAAGGGTGCACTACTCTCTTTCGTTATCTTTTTTCTTTTTTCCAATTTTCTTTTTATGCTTTTGGGACTAAGATTCAAAAAATTTGAAATGTTCTCGTGCAGGATGAGGTTGCAAGTGACTTACGTCCTACGTTACGAAGCATTGCCATGTTCAGATGAAATCACTAGCACGCATTTTCTCGCCAATGCTTTTTGTAGCCTCCACGTGATTGTTCGTGTTCTTGGTGGATTGAGAAGAATCTAACTAAATTTGATGAAGCGGGCTATATCATAGCCAGAAGAAAGAAAATTGGAACTTAATTAAATGACGAATCACTTATTATATATATACTTTTGTTATGATTGAATGGTGCTAAAACTAAATCAAACCATCTAAAAACGAAATGTACTTGTGGTTGTGGTCGTGAAAACCGACCGAGTTCTTGCATGGTTTAGTTGTCTAACCGAGTGACTTCTATTGATACAGCTTGTAAGAGGGTTATTGTTTCGTCGTTCTCCTGACTAGAAATCCGCTCTCTTTGAATTACTTCTTCAAAAATCGCTAAATTTATCGGGCTTTCTATTTATCTTTTGTTTAGGGAAAGTTTTAACATTGCCCATTTTGCCTGGAGTTGTACAAATATGAAAGTTAACCTTTAAGTAAATATAATATATTACATTAGGCAAAAGTTGGAAGAGGAAGAATGTTTGTTCATGTGCCTACCCAGTGACACGTAACTTTGCCTTTGTGATTGTTACGTAGCAAGCCACATTGCATAACTGTGCCACGCGATGTCATGACCCATATTCAAACATTTAGTATTGATTTAGTGATTTGTTTTTCTCAAACGCTTATCATTAATTGAACTTAAATTTACAAATTGATAAAAATAACGTACCTTCAAACGTATATATAAACGTATCAGAACAATAGAAGAAATAATGATTATGATGATATATCTTAAAATTGATTTCTATTATACTTTTCAAACATCTATCTCTCGTTCAGTACCATGATCAGAGCTCCTCTGCCCCTCTCTAAATTTGGTGATGTTTTTTTTTTTTTTTTTTTGGTAACCCGGGGAACCCCGCACGGCCGACGGCCAGTAGGGAGGTAAACCACAGGGCGACACGTCTTGCCACCACACACGTGCACCGGTTAAGTCACCTGCGGCACTCGGGATTCGAACACCCAACCTTTTGCGAGAGGAAGAGTGCCCTTTCCAGCAGCGCCATCTAGGCGGGTGGTTAAATTTGGTGATGTTCGATTTTACCGTTATTCAAAAAGTTATATGTTAGTTAAAAAAATCATTTATTTATTTTTTTCAAATTTCAACTCAAAATAGATAAACTGTAAAATAGGATTGAATTTGTGAAAAAATGTCGATAGCATTCAATCACTTATTTTCTAAAAATTCTATTTTACATATACTTGAGTTAAATTTTCAGTTTAAACTTTCAAGCTAGACAAATGTTTTACAAGGTATCTTCCACGCTTTATGGATACAACCTTAAATAACATACGTGTCTAAGTTATTGACACTACTAATAGACGAGAGAATAAACATATTCTTAAATACGTTTACCAACAAGTAACTAGTTTCAAATGAGTAGCAATCCCGTAAATTTAGTACTTGCTCGAATTACAAATTCCCAAGAGAAATATCCAAGCATAGTCTGCAAATTCTTTGATTGAAATTTTTACCGTTCGTTCATCCATATTTTGTAATTTTTTGCTCTATGTTATTCTTTTATTCTAGCAAAATGATTTGATCATCTTCAATAAATGGGTAGTTTCTCGAATGTGTTCATAATTTCACGCGAGTGATTTCTTTTATTCAATAAATAAGTAATTTCTCAAATGTGGTCAGATTTGATATTTTCGTCCATGCGTTACAATGGAAATACATCTTTCCAACATCTATGGAGACAAAAGGAGAGGACCAACATCCAGAAACAATCACAATGTTCTTCGCTGGCAAGCAGAACACACATCTTTTCTAATATTTGAGAATGTTTACAAGTCTGCGCGAATCACATTTGTTCCAAGGAAGGAAGGAGCCCTTGCTAATCATCTAAAGAGAAATATCCAGGCATAGAAAACTTATTTATTAGGGGCTCGAGCTTCGGCACAACAAGTAACCTCGATAACCCTTAAGACAGAGGACCTAACTGCTTTGCCTTCCCTATGGAATCAACACTACCGACCCGGATGTCTTCCGGCTTTCAAGATCGGCATGTACTTTTGCTGCTTCGGACAGTGGGTATGTGTGATTCACGCGAACTTTAAGGATGCCCGAGGCGACGCTGGCAAATACCTCTCCAGCAGCTTCCAGCAACTCATCCCGAGTGATGGTGTACTGCATGAGGCTTGGCCTTGTCAAAAAGAGCGACTTTGGCGAAAGAGCTGACAATGGGACTGGATCTGGGATTCCCGAGGACTGCCCAAAGCTCACCATGTAGCCCCTAATCTTCAAGCACTCCAAGGATCCCTGCATGATCGATAAGTCTTGTGAAACTTTTTATTAGAACATATACGAAAGTAACACTCGGCTTTACAGTTAATATCCTCATTTGTACCCATGACACGATCTTCTAGACAAAGCGTCAGATCAAGCCACTTTGACAAAATCCACATGCAGCATGTTTACAAGTAATTATCTGCTTAACCCTGGTTAAATCGGACAGATTCTTCCAGCAATAAAAAACTGTCGATGGATTAGACTTCTGAACAACAACTAAATTCCTAAAGCATGCTGCAATGTGATATAGTCTCTGCTAGTCTCCAGAAGGATTTAATCTAACTCGAAATAGACAAAGTCCCACGCTCAAACACTAAAATGGACTCTTCTCAAAATTTTGACCAATTTCAGAGAAGCGATGACAAGAAGAGGAAATCATTTTCTTGATGGTGGAGGAAAACACTTTTCTATTCTACCGTAAATCATGATAGAGTGCAAACCAACAGGACATTTAACAGAATTACCTGAAACGTGTCCTTTCCTACCGAGTCATACACAACATCAACCCCGTTGCCAGATGTAATCTCCTTAACACGAGAAACAAAATCCTCCTCCGTGTAGATAATAGCATGATGACAACCATCATCCTTAGCTTGAGCTGCCTTTTCTTTAGTTGAGACGGTACCAATGACAGTTGCCCCAAGGGCATTAGCCCATTGGCACAATAGGGATCCAACTCCACCAGCTGCAGCTTGGACAAGGACTGTGTGTCCATTCTCAACCTTAATACAAAGTAAATAGTCAAGCCTTAAATGGGGAGAGTGCAAGGCTGCTTTCAATCCAACACTTGAGAAAAAAGATGATACAAAATCATCTATTGTATGTATGTAGGTAACACCTTAAAAGCAAAGCATCACCAATGACTTCATCTATTGTCCAACATATATATATCTATGATAAATATTAATGTTCTTGCACATACAAACGCTGTAAGAGGAGTATAAAGCCAACCTTAAAACAGCGGCGGAGGAGAAACTGAGCTGTCATGCCCTTCAGCATGATTGATGCTGCAGTAACTGGACCAATAGAAGGAGGAACAGGCACAACTTTACTTGCTGGGAGAATTTGCTCTTCAGCATATGAGCCCATTGGACCGCCAGCATAGGCTACAATATCTCCAACTTTCCTGCCAGTTAGTCCAGGTCCCACAGCTACTACCTCACCAACAGCCTCCATGCCTGCGACAGATGGATATCATCCACTAACGTATAATCCACTCAACATGCTATCGCATCACCAGCAAGATGAATCCATTATCAACACTTAATGAAGTGTAAACAAGTTTGTATAGCTCCACAAAGACGCCATTACCATTGCAGACATTGCACAAGTTGACAAATGTTTCGGTGGATCAATTGTCTATTCAAGCATGATCTCTGGAGTAGATGTGATATTTTTTAGTTAAAATAGTCAGCTGACAACCGGAAAAACTTGACTCCAGAACCTTAGTTAACAATTAGAGAATACTGCTTAATCATGAATGCTACTATGACATCTCAAACAGATAACTCTAATTCGTCTCATATATGTCAAGTACTTCAACAAATCAAGTTCGGAATTCACGTAACCATGGAACTGCAGACAAACCCAGCGATATAAGAGAGAGTGAGCAGAAGTCATGACTCATGAGATATCATTTCCCCTTAATGAGAAAAACACAAAAGAGCAAAAGGGACACCGCAATGTTGCCATGGATGATCAAACACGAGCATGCATTGACTTGAAAACAGATCAAAGAATTCAAATATTTATTTAAAACCAAAGGACATTCTCTGAGCCTTTTCAAATTGTCAACAATGACTTAGACGAATACTATAATCAATTCCAAGCCACAATAATCACTATCATGCTCGATGCATTAAGTCCATCTAATTCTGACAGGGGACACAGCAAACAAACCTGGTGTGAAGGGCATGGTGGGTGCCTTGTATACCCCTGTACGGAAATAAACATCGATGAAGTTGACCCCAATGGCTTTGTTCTTCACGCGAATCTCTCCCTCCTTGGGTTCACCTATTTCCACATTCTCCCACTTTAAGACCTACACACAATTGCATAACGGCTATCAAAAGATGCACCTTTAGCAACGATCAGAGATGGTGCATGAGGGCCTATGGCTGCACAATTGTACAAGCGAATTGCTATCAAATTTTCGGATTTTGATTTCGAGAAAGTACATCCATCGTTCTCAATGTCAATTCCCGTACCTATAGTAGTGCTGACTAAGTGTATCACCAATTAACCCATCACCCGATCAAAGTCAAGATTGTAACTTTGGAGTGCCCCAAACTCCTGCTCACTAAAGTATAACAGAAAGCTAAATTTAAGACTTTGAGGGAACCTGACGAACTCAAACAAATGGATGATAGCAAACAGAGAAGTTCAATAGTCAACGCGAATACCCATTTTCTATCCTACAAAGCAAAAGCGGAGAGAGAGAGAGAGAGAGAGAGAGGAGGAGGCGAGAGACCTCAGGTCCACCGAACTCATGAACCCTAACAGCTTTCACCATTTCGGAGGACGCTGAAGCCGTGGCAACCGCTCTCGCAAATGATCTGCTTCGTGCCGACGGAGGCGTAGAGAGCGACGGAAAGCGGATGCCTCTGCTCTGACCGGCGTTGTTGGTCGGATCCTGTCGCCGTCGCCGTCGCCGGAGAAGAAGGAGAGTGGGTTGGAGAAAGTGGCGCGGGAGCAGGTGAGGAGACTGAGGAGTAGGAGGGGACACCGAAAGCAAAGGGAGGTGATTCTGGAGGCGTCCTATTCTCAAACCCGTGAAGGTGACGCTACTACTGGACATGTCCATTCACCAGTAACGCCTGTGTCCCGGTTAAGCGAAACCGTCTCATACACCTTGGCATGATGTATTTACGGGTGTTCATAAACCTTATACACCAGTAACTCCTATGTCCCGGCTGCGTTTTGGTGCCGAGGATAAAATCGGGATATGATATATTTTATCCTATCCTGTATTTGTGTGCCCGGATAGGATAAGGCGGATAGGACTGGATATAGCGGATAAAAAATCCGAGGGGAGTAGGATAGACCGGATAGGATTTCTAATGCCTATTTTTCCAAAAACCCTACGCTCCACTCGCCGTGATCTTCATCCCCACACCTTGTACGCTTTCACCAAATAAATTTCTCGACTTTTTTTCCTTCACCGACTCCTCCGGACTTGTGAATAGCAAAAAGAAAAAATTATCCTATCCGACTTTAAATCAGTAGTCACAAATAGTGGACGGATATGAAGAAATCCCAGGATTTCTTATCCTATCCTATCCAAATCCTATCCTGTTTAGAAATCCAGGACGACCAAACGCAGACTAGGGATGTGTAATGGAACCACTCCAACCGAATTGCCGGATTGGATTGAACCCGCCGATTTTGGGCGATTCTCAAGGGCGTCGGTCTGGTCCCGATTTCAAGCTGGGAACCAAATCGACCGGATCAAACCGATTAAACATACATCATTATTAATGATTCATTAATGAGCAAAACCAACTCGAAATTATCACTAGGCCAATATAAATTATGTGCTATTTCTCCATCAGACTATCATTAGTCCTTTCATGGACGGGTTTTTTTTTTTGTCGAGCATGGACAAAAGTTGATTCCTTATTGCATCGAAGGATAATTTTCTCTTTTTTATTTTCTTTGGGGATGGATCGAGCCGTTCGTTGCCCTCCGATCGAGGATTGTTGTCAAAGCCAGCAAAACTCAAAAACGCCAAGGACCCTTTGCTTTGAAACGATCTTCAAATGCCATTTGCTCATATGCCTTTGTTTCTCTACTAGTTCCGTTGGACCACCTGGGAATAGGATCAGACCGATTCCAGGACTCGGTGGTTCGATTCACGGTTCTTGGATGTAGCCGGACTGAATCGAGAATCGATTACCGCTAATAAAGACCCGCTTGTTTCCTTTAATATAAAAGATCTGAAAAATATTTTTCTAAAAGAAGCATTTTGCGACTCTTTTCCATCGTCAATGAAGATATTTAGGTACATAATGCTGGTCATAATAAAAGTGTTTTTGCTTGGCTAATATTTGTAAATGATATAAATATAAGCGATCTTTTTTATTAATTTTTTTTCAAATAAATGATTTTCTATGAGACAAAAACATCATAAAAATGTTATCATTTTGACTAATAGAATGCGTGATTGAGTCTGGCAATTTAAGTACTTCCTATCAAACATTGCTCTACGCTATTAGATGACAAAATCTTATTTGGCTAAAAAATGTCCATGTTAAACTTGCTATACTCTGGTTTTTAAGTTTAGCTAAATTACAAATTTGATTCAAGTGTGACTATACTCCTCTGTACTTAATAGTCTTGTAGAAATAGGTGTGTTGTTTGTTAGTTTTCATTTTAATTTGAAGGTATATAGTTTAAGGCTACGTCTATTTCGCGGAAAATAAATAATTTGAAAAATGCTTTCTTAAAAATTGATTATTTGTATCGCCCAAAATAATTAGTCATGAAAAATATTTTCATTTCCGACAACAATTTATATCTAAATATTTTTCATGAAAGATGAAAATATCTTTCGTTCGTTAATTTTTATAAGTGATATAAATAGTAGTTTTAGGAAAATGTTTTTCAAATTACTCATTTTCCACAAAACAAATGGAGCCTGAAAATGAACTGGTAAGTATTTTCCGCCGTTCAGTATAGAAAATTTGATTTGATTTTCTTCCGTGCACTCCTTTTAATATTTCTTTATTTCTTTATTTCTTTCTTTTTCCTTCTTCTTCGGCTGGTCGCTAGCCATGGTGACGGTTGGCGACCGACCATAGGCAAGCTCGAGCCTCGCCATAAGTCGGCGAGGCTCCTCCTCGTCAAATCCGGCGAGTTCGACCCTCGATAGATTAAGCTCGCTAGAGGTCGGTGAGTTCGAGCATTAACGTGGATTGTGAATGAAGGGAGTAATCATCGATTGGGCCTGGGCCTGGGTGGGCCTGACTTGCTATTTACGGAAAAGTCGTTTGAGCTTTATAACTAAACCCTTGATCAAGCCCATCCAATTTGCTTTTGGGCACGTTGGGCCTGATATGCTATACAGTAAAACTGAAAAACCATTGTGAACATGATTTGTGAAAAAACGTTTAAAAACAACATCGACAATAATTCCATCATATCCAACTAACTTAGGCATAACCAAATAAGTTAAATTTTTCTTCAACCCTCCTCTAAACTATTCTGATTGATGGGTTACGAGTCGTGGACATTATTCTCATACGAAATTAACTAAATATAAACATAGGTGATATCCGTAGTTGTGACCCACCAATCAAAAGTGTGTTTATAGAAAGTTTTTTTTAATGAATCTATTCAAATAAAAGACATCATATTCCACGTGCTAGATAGGATGACTTATCTTATCTTAGCCCCATAAACAGTGCATCAAAATCACAACTTTCAAAGGCCAAGAAAGACTTGTGGGCAAGCACAATTAAGAAGCAACCCTTGGAAATTTCCTACGGGCTTCTTTCGATTCAGTCAATCTTTGCTTGATATTTTGGACAATCATTACCTGTTGTTCTCTGACAAAGGAGCTCGCATGGGAACAAATTCATCAGTTCAATATTCAATCTTGACCCCATTCATGTCACAATCTCCACATATATTCTACGAGATATTAGTTTGAATATTCTACGAACTGGTTTCGTCCCTATCTCCCTCGTCACTACAAGTCAAGACACAGACAGGCTCCTTTTTCTTGCATCTCTCTCTCTCTCTCTCTCTCTCTCTCTGTGAGGAAGTTTGAAGAAGGCTATGGCAGTGGGATTAGCAGTAGCGAGTGCTGTGGAGGGGAACTACAATGGCCATATAACTTGGTTTGTCGTACTGTCATGTCTGATGGCAGGCATGGGAGGTGTCATATTTGGCTATGACATTGGAATTTCAGGTCCGTCCCATCATTTCTTGCCATTTTTTTGGATGCTCCTCATAAAGGAAAAGTACCTTGCTTTCTTTTCTTTTCTCTGCTAGCTCTCGACGAATGTCTACGGTGGTTCTATGACCGCCAAGTAGTCTTGTGCTGATTAATTAGATGGAGTTCCTAACGTAATTAAGCACGCCCCTGTTCTTTGTTTGTTTGCTAAAAGAATGTCTTTGCTAGAATTGAAATTTTAAGGTTAGGTAAACACTGACAGCTGAATCTGTATAAAGATGTCGTTTCTGATAAGTGTGCAAATAATTCCTAAGGTGGAGTGACCTCAATGGAGTCGTTTTTGAAGAGGTTCTTCCATGAAGTCTATATCAAGATGACTGAAGACACCAAGATCAGTAACTACTGCAAGTTCAATAGCCAATTGTTGACCTCCTTTACTTCCTCCCTCTATATCGCTGGCCTCTTTGCTTCCTTTTTGGCGTCTTTTGTCACTAGAGCGTTCGGACGCAAACCGTCAATATTGACAGGAGGTGCTGCATTCCTCGCCGGTTCAGCCCTTGCAGGTGCAGCTTCCAATGTTTACATGCTTATATTAGGCCGTGCTCTGCTTGGTGTTGGGGTCGGTTTTGCGAATCAGGTAGTCCTCGTGAAACATGAACTGTTTTTGATGGGTTGGAACATTGCTTAACAATTTCTTCACATGTTTGATTGGATTGGCAGTCAGTTCCTCTTTATCTCTCAGAAATGGCACCGCCAAGGTACAGAGGAGCTTTCAGCAATGGCTTCCAATTTTCAATAGGAATTGGTGCTCTGTCAGCAAACCTCATCAACTATGGAACTGAGAAGATTAAAGGCGGTTGGGGTTGGAGAGTTTCCCTTGCCGTGGGTGCGGTCCCAGCCTCAATCCTAACACTCGGCGCGCTTTTCCTCCCAGAGACACCTAACAGCCTAATCCAAAGCCACAATGGACAAGAAAAGGCCAATTCCATGCTGCAACTCGTGCGCGGGACGCCCAGCATTCAGGCAGAGCTGGATGATCTCATCAAAGCAGACTTAAACACAAAAACCGTTTGCCACCCGTTTCGAACCATCAGACAAGAGAAGTATAGGCCTCAACTAGTCATGGCAATAGCCATTCCATTCTTCCAACAAGTCACGGGAATCAACGTCATTGCATTCTATGCACCAGTCCTGTTCCGAACCATCGGCCTGGGGGAAAGTGCATCACTCATGTCCGCAGTGGTGACTGGTGTCATCGGTTGCAGTTCAACTTTCATATCAATGCTCATAGTAGACAAGCTAGGCAGAAGAACATTGTTCCTTGTCGGGGGCATTCAGATGTTTGTGTCGCAATTGATGGTCGGAGGAATAATGGCGGCGAAGCTAGGAGATCACGGTGGATTGAGCACAGGGTATGCTTATGTGCTATTGCTGTCGATCTGCATCTATGTTGCCGGATTTGGTTGGTCCTGGGGGCCTCTAGGGTGGCTCGTTCCAAGCGAAATATATCCGCTAGAGATCCGATCAGCGGGGCAGAGCATTACGGTTGCAGTGAGCTTCCTCTTCACCATCGCAGTCGCTCAAACATCTTTAGCAATGCTGTGCCACTTGAAGTCGGGGATTTTCTTCTTTTTCGGGGGTTGGGTGGCTGTTATGACTGCATTCGTGTACCTGCTGTTGCCAGAGACCAAGAACATCCCCATCGAGCAAATGGATAGAGTTTGGAGGGAACATTGGTTTTGGAAGAGAATTGTGGACCAAGAGCATGAGACGAGTAAACCGAAGGACCACGACCCAAATTCAGCATGAATTCTCATGGTCATAAACTCTTTTTTCGTTAAAGTGATCACTACTTTTTCTTTGGCATATTCAGCAGCATTTGAACACGATATGTTCCGAATGTTTAAGTCATATTCGACTACTGGAGCAAAGGAAAGTCAGGGGTCGACTCACATAAGTCACGGGCACTCCAGAGCAGACACAACACCAGCAAGGTCCTCTCTTCTTAGATTTGAGGGGAAAAGCAATCGCAGATGATTCTCCAGCAGAACCCATCTGTTCCATCCCATTCACTAGTTGGGCCTCATTGGATAAGCTGGGGCTCAAGAAGGAAAGTGTTTTGTCTGGCCCCCTTCAGTTTTATGTTTCGTGCCTAGTGAACTAGGGTGGGTCCTGTGGCCGACCAGCATGTCTGATTCTTTCACGTTCCCTATTAACTCGATGTTCCCCAAGCCCGTTAGCGTCTTCACATGTTTAACTCGTAAATAACTTCACACTCGATGCATGTAATAATACGTGAAGAATGCATGGTGTGTTGTACCAAGATATGGTACAGACGGAGTGATGCTTGGTATTTTAAGATTGATTTGGTGAAATTGATGTATTAAGTGAGACGGTAAAATCTGACATGAGATTTACTTATTCAAAAGTTTATTATTAATCTACCGCATGACAATTATATGTTAATTTCCTAGATCAAATTTAGAATATCTTGAGAAAGAAAATAATATCTCCATGCCATCACACAAAAGATGATCTGCCGAGATATTAGTTAGGAGAAATTAGGGGTTAGTAATTGGGCCACTATAACCCGAGAACCAAATTGAATTGGCCTTACCTGGATAATTGGTTCACAGAGAGATTGGTTTGGTTTCCGTGCAAATTGGGAACCGGCCTTGATCAATTCAATTCTCGACTCTTGGCCTTGAACGGGTTTATGGATAGAACCGATTCAAAACCAAACAACTAGTCCCTTAGCTGAGAACGTTTGCCAAAAAAATAACAACATTGAGCATTCCAAGCCATTACAGTATCTCAATTGAGAAAATTTTCAAAACTATGTATATAATTGAGTAATTAATTAAAAAATGAAACAGAAAAAAAGGTAGGCCGATTCCCCCAGTCGACCTCTTGGACGGTTTTTAGGTCAGTTTCAAGATCAATCGGGTCAGTTCCCCATCTCAAAATAAACTTTGGCACTTATCCCTAAGAAAATTGGTCAGTGTCAATTTCGATTAACTTATCATATCTCGGAAAATAACATAATTTTAAGGCTGTGTTCGTTTGCAGAAAAATATTTTTCCGGAAAACATTTTCTTCGTTTTTCGGTGTTCGGGGGCGGAAAATGTTTTCCGTGGGAAAACATTTTCCTTCCCCACCCCCAAATCGTTCATTGTTTTGAGGAAAATGATTTCCTCTTTTCACAAAAGAGGAAATCATTTTCCCCAAATTGAAGGCAAAATTGCCCATGGGAGGGAAAATGTTTTTCGCGGAGAGGAAGTTGATTACTTATTATCAGTAAAGTTTGGGGTTTTTTTTGGAATTAGGCCGGTGTGTTGTACCAAGATATGGTACAGACGGAGTGATGCTTGGTATTTTAAGATTGATTTGGTGAAATTGATGTATTAAGTGAGACGGTAAAATCTTTCATGAGATTTACTTATTCAAAAGTTTATTATTAATCTACCGCATGACAATTATATGTTAATTTCCTAGATCAAATTTAGAATATCTTGAGAAAGAAAATAATATCTCCATGCTATCACACAAAAGATGATCTGCCGAGATATTAGTTAGGAGAAATTAGGGGTTAGTAATTGGGCCACTGTAACCCGAGAACCAAATTGAATTGGCCTTACCTGGATAATTGGTTCACAGAGAGATTGGTTTGGTTTCCGTGCAAATTGGGAACCGGCCTTGATCAATTCAATTCTCGACTCTTGGCCTTGAACGGGTTTATGGATAGAACCGATTCAAAACCAAACAACTAGTCCCTTAGCTGAGAACGTTTGCCAAAAAAATAACAACATTGAGCATTCCAAGCCATTACAGTATCTCAATTGAGAAAATTTTCAAAACTATGTATATAATTGAGTAATTAATTAAAAAATGAAACAGAAAAAAAGGATAAAATATTTTTCAAGAAATCGGCAGTTCCCCATCTCAAAATAAACTTTGGCAGAATAGTGTTTTTCGGAAAACGAACATGAATTTTAAATGTTCACTCCACGATGCTGTGGCGAGATGATTATGTGGGCCAAATTTTCATTACAGTTAAGTTAATGTGTTATCTTCCTGTCCTGTGGTGAGAACTTGATTTTTCAAAGGAGGGGACAACTAATCAACATGTTAATCCAAGATGGCTTCTTTGAAAGGGACAATTACTGTAATAATTGTGGTTGAATAAATTATAAAACATTCTGTCACGCGCGCACCCTCTCTTTCTCTTGCCTCAAGCCTGGCCAGTCGTAACCACGGATGCCAGAGTCGACTTTTTCTCTCTCTACACCACAACCTCTCTCTCTCTCTCTCTTCCTTTTTCGTTTCTCTCTCTCAGCAAACCGAACAAGAAGCTCTCTCTGCTCATCAGAACAGAGAGAGAGAGAGAGAGAGAAGCTCTCTCTTTGAGGTGGGACTGAATCGTTGAGCCTAAGGTGAAGTTTCTCTGTCTCTTGTCGATTCTGGGTTTTTGGTTTGGATCGATTGTCTCTGTGTTCCGCGAGTTTTTCTTTTGATTCCATGTGTAGATACATCATGGGTCGGATCTTTTTTATTCCCCTTTTGTCTGTACATCGTTGTTTTGTCGTTTCGATGTCGGGGTCATCGAAAAATCTCAAATTTTGGTCGCGCATGGCAAAACTAGGATCTTCGACTCGTTCAAAGTTTCTGAAGAATCCTCGATGAGAAGCGTCGTCTTTGACCGCTGAAATGGTGGCTAACCAATGCGTTGCCAACCGATATATTGAGACTCGTAATTTGCTTCTCGAATTTGAACTTGTGTTGTACCTTTGATGCTTCGGCGATAGAGGGACTCAGAGCAGCTGCAAGTAGAATTAAATTTGGAGTAAATTTATTTTTTTTTAGAGTCGACCCATTTATGGTGAAACAAGGAACAAAGAAAATTGATTCTGGCTTTTTTACTGTGTAATCGAGCAGCCTTTAGTTAGATTCTCTTGGGAGCTCAATTTTGTTCTTAAATGGTCTACTTGTCAGTGTTTCTGATACACGTTTGGCGGATTCATCCAGGAGAAGATCTTTTCGTAGCGTGTGAAAGAAGTGCCAATTGCCACTTACCAATGTCTTCAGCTGTGTTGGCTTTGTGGCACGACAGGGCGACGGGCTTCTTTTCTTCATCAGGTATACCCGATTCTTTCTGTACAAGCTTACTTTGTCATTTCACTGTCCGTGGCTTAGACTTCAAGGTGCAAATTTAGGTGGGAGACTTAAAGAAGCGGGAAAGAATGCCGGAGCATTTGTTGATGAGGTAGCAAAGGATGCGAAAGGCAATGTTACTGAAATTGCAGGCAGGGTCGGATCAGTGGGTACTGCTTCAGCAACCATCGGTGAGACATGCAGTCCAAGAGCGTCTCATAGAAACTGCTGCCTCTACTGGCTCTTTTCTGAGAAAGGGTATATCTGGCACTAAGGATAAAGTTGTAGTTGGCAAGACAAAAGTTGAAGAGGTAGGTTGTGTTGAGACTTGGATTTATTTGATGATCTTAGTGGATTCATTGTGTCAACACTTGTTATTTAGTTCTTCAAGATCACCATTTATTGTTAGATATGATAAAAGGGCATCATTATCTGGCTCACATACAAAGCAAGAGTAGCTCCACGGTTTAAACATCCTTAAACTGAGTTTGGCTTTATCTTCCTGCAGCCTAGGGATCAAACCTAACTGGTTGTTTTTAAAGGGTCTTGCACTTGATGGTCCCTTTCTTGCCCATGATCTCAAAATAGGGTTCAGTTGTTTACCATTGCAGAACCAGATCTCTCTTTGTGATTTTGATCATTTAGAACCGTATTCTCCATTTTATATGTTGTCAAAAGTAAACTTCATATACTTATTAAACAGCAATGGTTTGCTAGCGGACAATTCTAAAAGATGACATACTTATTCAAGAAATGATTCTTCAGGTGGCAAAAAAGATTGCACAGAGAAGTAAATCCATTATTACAGATATGGAAAGACGGCAGAAGGTAAAGAATTACGAGGCTGACTGCATATCTTACTCCCTCATCCATTCTGTGTATTAACTGCAAGATCCTGACGAGTTTTCTTGCCGTCGCATGGATTTTTTAACTCGGATGGTAATTGACTTGCATCTTGGCTTGGCCATACAGTTCATTTACTTCTGTTTGTACTGAAAACCCTGTTCTCTTTTCAAAGTGCTGAGATATTTGTATTATTCTCAGGAAATTGTCAAGGCATCTTCATTTTTGGGTATGGATAACCATATATTTGTGGTGTTCTGGATTGTTGTGGTATGAATCAACATGACAAAGTTTCAGGCCCTTAAGTATAATTTTCTTCTCTCTTGCTCTATCTCTTCCATTGAATTTTCCATCAAAGAGAGGGAGTTCAACAAGGCATTCCTTCACTTTCAGCTCTTATGGTGCTACTTGACAGTTCTTACTGAATTAACTATTCTTTTCGGGGATCCAGAAAGGGGATATTAGAGTATGCTATGTTATCACCACAGAACTCGTTTTCAAATTGTCAAATGGTTATGACAAGCAGATTTGTCTTTGGAGGTTCTTACAGTTATGCGACTCCTCAACATTAGACCAAAATCTCTTTCTTGCTTTAGTCATTCTACAGAATGGACTGTCCTTCTAGATTGTAGTAACTTTCTCTGACGTCTTTCTACTAGATTGCAGAGTCACAGTTGCAAATTTAATCTTTGTTTGCAGCGTTTGGTGTCCCAATTGTGATCACGGTGCAACGGCAACAATCCAGCAGCCCTGTTCCTAATATTTTGATCAAATGTGCTGATTATCTTATAAGTACAGGTGGTTATGGGTATGTGAATTTTTCCGGATTATTGTCACACAATTGAAAACATCAATGGTAATTCGTCTATTGTTTTTATTTTTAGGGTTAAATTCTCAGAGTTTGTTCAAATCTGAAGGAGATAAGGAGGTTATTCAGCAATTGGTTATGAAATACAATGAAGGTATAGTACATGTTCCATCATTGCACATTTGACTTTCAACTTTTTCCGATCGATAACATACTTGACTTTCAATTGTTTAATTTAGAGTGTTTGAGGTGCTAAATACCTTCCTTTGTTCCGCAGACCCAGATGCCTCACTTCCCAATGATACAAATCCACTGGATGTGGCTATACTTGCCAAATGCTACCTCGCAAGCCTTCCCGAGCCATTAACAACCTTTGATCTCTATGAAGAGTTAAAAGGTGCTCGTTCTAGTGTACAAGCAACGAGAAGCATATTAGAGAGACTTCCCAGTGCAAATTACATGACACTAGAATATATAACAGCACTGTTGCTCCGCATAAGCCATAACTCACATCTTAACAAGGTTCTCTCTCTCTCTCTCTCTCTCTCTCTCTCTCATGCATGCATGCCTCCTATTTTTGTTCTTATTGGCAGTAAAACATAGTGAAGATTGATGTAATGGTGTCTATGATCCTAATT